GAAATAAGAATTAAACCTTTTATTTATGGTGCTGACATTAAACTTGAAAATATATCTCCTTTCCGTCTGCTTTCTTCTCCTCCTTGGCAATTGGTAAAGCCACAGGTGGATCTTACATTATCTAAACTAAAGCAATCTGACACTTACCAATTACAATATCAACAAGAATATTATCAGTTAAGAAGTGAATATAACACTTACAAATCAATATTTATAGACGGATCCAAGGATGGAGGTGCTGTTGCCAGTCGCTTGCCTTTTAGGTGGTAATCCACTGCCCGCTGAGGTAATAACACATAGAATCTTGTGTGCAAACGACATCGAAATGAATCCCAGACAACTTACCTTAGCAGAAGTCAAAGATACCATTTTGAAGGAAATCAAATGAGGTTCGAGATCTGAGCACCAGATTTCATAACATTGAATCAAAGATGACCAAACTCCAGAGTGACATGGAAACTGTACAACGCAACCAGAGCATAATGTACGAGGACGTTGGTTTGATCTCCGGTAAGATGGAAAACGTGGAAGAGAAATTAGCACAGTTCGACGGCGAGATCAACAAGCTAGAGGCATTTAGCAGGCATGACAACGTTATCCCCTATAACGTGACAGAGGAAACAGGGGAGACGCACACTGATTGCAAGGTCAAGGTACTAGACATCTTGAACAGCAATGTTCAGACCAAGACATGGGTTAGTGATGACGTCACCCGTGCACATCGACTCGGCGCCCAACGTGAGGATACATCTAAACCAAGACCGCTAATTGCTAAATTACGGCTGTCTGATGACAAGATTGAAGTATTGAAAGCTCGACCAACACTCAAGAATATCGGTTATGGAGTTTCAAGTGACTTAACTATCCGCCAACGCGAACAACTTAAAGCCGTGAAAGATAGAGGACTGATTGGATATTTTAAAAATGGTAAGCTGTTAACTAAACCACGAAATGATGAACATAACCATGACACACACAAATCTGAGAGCTCCAAACGACAATTGAGGAGTACCTCAACGCGTGGTGGCTACCATAAGAGATAACAATCCGGCCAGGGCCAGTATTCGACACAGAATGGAAAAAACACCGGTAACGATAAACATTTGTCATTGTTGTCCTGGAACATTTGTGGCCTTCGTAAAATGTTTGATGATTGTGACTTTATTGCTTACCTCCAATCATTTGATATTGTGTGTCTCTTGGAGACATTTATATCAGATTTCCCAGACTTAAACTGGTTACCTGGTTACCAAATGTACTTTGCCCCAGCAGTTAAAACACCATTGTCAGGTAGATGTTCTGGTGGTGTGTGTCTCTGCGTTAGGCAAGATGTTGTGAACATGTGCATTCACCTTAGCACCGACATAGAAAATTTCATATGTTTAGAATTTCCAAAATCTGTGTTTAATTTGAAATGTGATTTAATGTTGTTGTGTACATATGTCCCTCCGGCAGGTTTTACAAAGGGAGAACTGATTCAGGTTGCCTTATTGATAAAGTGGAAGCTTTTATATTGGAGCATTGGTCTGATTTCACTTCTTCACATGTGCTACTCTGTGGTGATTTTAATGCCCGCACAGGCAATGAAAATAATCCCATTTCTGAGGAAAGTGATGACTTTGGACATGATGATGTATACATTGATGTCGACAATGCCCCTGTTGAACAACGTGTATCGCACGATGGTACTATCAATAGATTCGGACGCATTTTATTGAATCTATGCTTTGTACTTCGTATGTTTATACTAAATGGGAGAGTTTATGGTGATAGTGCAGGCGAGTTTACTTTTGTAGGAGATACTGGTTCTAGTGTTGTTGATTATTTTATTGCATCTGCTGATTTTTTCCAGTATGTAGATATGTTAAATGTTGGTGATCGATCAGATTCAGACCATTTCCCTCTTGAGTTATCCTGCAGGTTTCATTGTAGCAATCGTGCCATACATAGTTTAGACTGTGAGGATGATGTCTCTATGAACAGTACATTTTCATGGAACGAATCGAAGAAAAGCATTTTTAATACAGCACTTAGATGGTCCTTGTCCTTAACTTTTACAATTGGTAGGTAACTGAGATTGTTAGTGGCTATATCCTCGAAGGGGGTTGAAGTTGTGTAAAAGTATTGTCCCCCTGAGAGGGTATGTAAGACTGGATATATGTAAAAAGACATAATATAGCTCTACTGAAACCAACCATATTTTTATCCAACAGAATAGTATTAGCATGTTCTCTGTATCGAACATCAATAACATATCTTACCAGTGAATATTTTATCAAAAGTATTCCTCCCGAATACCTCCCGAACTGGGACCTTTTTGTGGCTGGTAAACAAAAAAGTTTATATTCTGGAAAAATGTCACTAAAGTAATTTTCTATTGACTATGTTTCATATAAAGCAACAATGTCATGTTCAGATACAGAAGAAACAAAGCCAATGTCGGACAGTTTGTTGGTTAAATCTTCTATATTCCTTGCAATGTAAGATATGCTTTTGCATAACCTTCGACCTTGACGGCAGCACCCACTCCTGATCCACAGTTGACGATGTTCCACTTGAGTCGCGATCTGCGAATGGAGCCGATCGCGACAACTGATGATCATCACCTTCCAGAGTAGTAACTGGCATGTCCTCAATGACGAGCCTGCCATTCTTATAATAGCCCCTCTTGTTCTCAGATCTGAGAAAAGTTGCTTATTACGAATAATTGCAAGAAACCGAGGAAAAACAATAAAAAACGTGACAATAGCAAAAAGTATCCTATATTTCCAATCAAACTTTGTTAATAAGAATGTTTTACATTAAAGGGGCACTGATCTAAAGCAATTCCCCGGGACTGGTGGTTGCCTTTCTATTTGTTTTTTCTTTCCCCGTGAGTACCCGGATGATACGCAACGCAACTGAGCGTGACAAGAGACTGGGCTACCGTCTGCAAGGACAGCTGAATAAACGTAGAGGCAATAATTGTTTTACTCATTTTTGAACACTGATTGGTTAACCGTGATCTATAAAGATTTCGACCAAGGGCGCATGTTCATTAATTTCTTCAGCCTTAACAAACAGACAAAAAGAAGCTCATCGGATGTCGTCATTTGGAAATAGTTATATGATTGTTATAGTTTAATAATAAAAGAGTATCCATGCAGTGAAAGCATTTTCGGATTTCGGATTGCGTCGATAATACGATTACTACTCCCTTGTTGTCATCCACGTTTTCTCGTAAAACCCTACACTTGTGTGTATTTGTTGTCATACACTTGATGCTCAGTTAATGAATTTATTACAGGTATAATTAGTGGTAGCACCGCTCAGAATACCTGACAAAGGTTCCCATTTGGCATTTATTGTGTCTGGGGTAATTATTCAATCTAAATCCAGGTTTCAAGTGAGGTGAAATGTGTGTTATCTAATATGCACGTGTTTGCCACGTGCAGCGGCCAGAAACTTCCGGTCACTGGTACTTCTATTTTCTGGCCGCTGCACGTGGCAAACACGTACGCCAGCTGATATTCTCACGATCTTACCAAACTGAGAAAGACATGTTTTATTGACAGCACTGTATTTTTAAACTCCCGGGCGTCTGATGAAACCTCCCGGACGTTTCCGGACGTCTGATGAAACCTCCCGGACGTTTCCGGACGCCCCCGGACGTTGCCGGGCGTCCTTGGACGTTAAATAGTAGGACCCACGAACACGGGTTATAATATCCCGAAACGATATATATTTTTAAAAATATTTGATTGTTTCAGAGACACGTGACATCGAATAAGTTTCTTTGTAAAGCTGCAGACGTGTGGGATATTGTTCCTTTGTGTGGATATTCACGGATACATTCCTCGAACTAGGAAGCTGCCTAAAATTATACACATAAATTTGGTAGGTTGTTATTATGATATTTGCATTTTGTTTTCCTTCATTTGCTGTAGCATTGGACCGATTCATTCCTGTTCCTCTACGTCTTGGTTGGGTATGCGCGATAGACGTTGTTTTCACAAGTCATTTCCTTTGTAAGCGTGTATATGTATTACAGGCAATTTGTAAAATATGATTCTCTCAGGCAATTTATAAAATGTGTAAATATTTCAGTCTTTTTGACTGAAAAATCTGTCCATTTCTTTAACAGACTGACTAAAACTGATTAAGACGATCAAAAGGGCCTATATAAACATCACAATAGATTATCATGTAGGATTAGAAGCCAAACAATATAGAAATGTACTTTTCATCGTAACATTTTCAGTCTCTTGGTGATGATATTAAACATAAAAATGTTTGGAATTCGTTATCATAATAATACAGATGGACATATTTTTCAGTTAATTTGTAAAATAACTGAATATTCAGGCTTTTAATAAATTTCCTAAGTGAAAATTTTGCACATTTTGACTGTAAAACATATAAACACGATAACATATAAGCAATGCTCAGGAGAAATATTTATTTTGTGTTGCAAGTCAAAATAGTGTAAACGAAAATCGCAAGTGACTTATCAAAAGTTCGCCACCTTTACCGATGCTACCCTAAAAGATACCTACATTTCCTTATTATTTCCCAAACTGTATTTCATTTTGTTGATAGATGTGACCATACGCCCTTATACTATCAATAAAAGTGACAAATGCGCTTACGAATTGCGCAGCACAGGTCGCGAACTAGTCTAGGTTTCTGCTATATTATCCGGGTACTCACGGGGAAAAACAATAACAAAGGCAACAACCAGTCCCGGGGAATTGCTTTAGATCAGTGCCCCTTTAAGGGTTGTAACACGCCGTCATATAGAATACGAACGTCTAGAACACCTACTATATGCTGTCAGTTGGATAATTATAGGGCAGAATAATAAACTATCTGGCCTGCTTGACAACCTTAAACATATTCTTGTATTTCAATTAAATTGGACTGTTTATCGTCCATCCAAAAGATATTGATTAATTTAATATTGATGAGCATATTTCGTTAAATCACCATTCCTACTTTGAATAATTAGATTTCAGAGTTACCTCCCATGTCCGGAAGTGGCATTTGTTGATGCCTTGATGCAAACATGTCGCTGAATGTGACACTCGAGTTGAGGTACATTTTCAGTTTATTTCTTATCTATTGGAAAGGAAGAAGGTTTGGCTTAACCACAAACTCCAATTCAGTGATAGGATACGTCCTTTCTCTAAAGGATAAATTATCACGAACGATTAACAGTAGACACGTGTTGAACGTGTAACATACCTGGCGAAATTACTGAAGCGCCCGTAACATGTTCATCATTATGGGTTAAAGCTGAAACGTGACCTGAGCAATCCGAGCGAAAACGGCACCGATTGGCGAAAACGGAACTTCGCCTAAAGCGAAAACGGCTACTATTGCAAGGCGAAAACGGCAGCTTCTTTGTTTTCACTTTGTTTTTTTAAAACAAGAAATAAAAGATTATTATACTCACATGTTCACTTGTAAACACAAATAATTGTGAAAAGGCTAACCGCCTTAAAACATATAGACTTATTTTAGAAATTAGCCGCTAGGGCCACAGGCCCACAGGCCCCTGAAGCAGGATAGTGATACAACTGAAACACTGGACGCATATATATAGATAGACTGTCTATTTATATGTCTGGGTACAGTGTTTCAGTTGTATCACTATCCTGCTTCAGGGGCCTGTGGACCCGTGAAGATTCCGGGGTAGAATAGGTCTTCAGCAACCCATGCTTGCTGTTAAAGGTGACTGCTTGTCGTAACAGGCAACTAACGGGATCGGGTGGTCAGGCTCGCTGACTTGGTTGATGCATGTCATCGATCCCAATTGCGTGGATCGATGCTCATGATATTAATCACTGGATTGTCTGGTCCAGACTCGATTATTTACAGACCGCCGTCATATAGCTGGACTATTGCTGAGTGCGGCGTTAAACAACCAACCAAATCAGTGGCCTGTGTCTAGGGCCTACTCCCCGACTCTGATCGGGAGGTGCAACTAAAGTCACATGTTTAGAAGTAGTCCTGCACCATGACTGTGGAATATTTTATTCTATGGAAAAAACCAATCTGGATATGTATACAAAAGCAAGTCTAGCCAGCTCTAGCTAGCTCTATTCCACATCAGCATGGGGAAAATTATTTGTTTGTCGAGAAGGGTATTGTGTTATATAAGATTTCATAGACTAAATGTTAGTCTAGCTTTGAAGTTTAAAATACCTTTATTCAATTTAACTCAATGTCAATTTTGTGGCACCGGTGTTGGGAAATTAGCAGGAATGAAGAAAATTCCCCTTCTGTTGTGCAAGATGTGTAGGCCTGCACCCCATCATTATGACATGTAGGACAAGAATAATCTTTTCTGACATTGTTACTTAGGTTATTTAATGTAAAAAGTGTCTAGTCATATTTTTAAAGTTACTGTTAAACTTCTGTAAACCAGTAGCTATTCATATATATACACCTAGTTTCATTGTGGGGCAATTTTAAGCTTGTTAAGCAGTTTGTCCTTTCCAGAAGAAAGATTAAGAGGACTTTGGACATGCTATTTGTATTTTGGTTTATGACCTCACCCTCAATGATGATTGTTATTTATTATAACTGCTCTCTTAATGATTATTGTTATTTTTTATAACCTCACCCTCAATGATGATTATTATTTATTATAACTTCTCTCTTAATGATTATTGTTATTTGTTATAACCTCACCCTTAATGATGATTATTATTTGTTATAATGTCTCCATTGATGATGATTATATTTTCAAGTGGGGGAGCAGAGCTGCTCTTTAACAAGGTCAAGAAACATGATGTGAATCTCCCGGACAGGAACGAAAAATGTAAGATAGTCTCCCTTGCATCACTGTAAATGTGTTAGAAATAGAAAATATTAGCTTGAGAATTATTCGTTACCATATTTCATAAAATATTAATTATTATTATTATTATTCTTGTTAATATTTTCATACATATTTTCCAAAATTAATTCTACAATGTAAGTCTTTAATATATTGATTACTATTAATGGGGTGCAGGCTAAAACAGCACCTCATCAAAATATCACTGGTTTCATCTGGTGAAAATGGCACTGTTGCGGCCGCTGACGGTCAAGCGAAAACGGCACCTAATATTTATAATAATAAGAACAATGTATGCAGTAGTAAATGCTTGTTCATTGGTAACATATTTCTATCATTGTCATAGCTGGCAGAAATGGGAGCGCCATTATTTTGTGGATGATGTTTTCACAAAGTATGTGATGTTTTCACAAAAAGTTTTGTTGCGCCTAGCAATCAGTATCGGCAAGTAACTTGAAGTTGAGGCCATTTCTAATGTAAACATGTGTTAACATATTTAAAGCAATTAACATTTCACAATTATTTGTGCTAGCAAACCTGTAAGTTTTATTTCATGTATTGTTTGTTTTTAAAAACAAAGTAAAAAAACAATAAGCTGCCCTTTTCAGTAAGTAGTCATTTTAGGTTGGTTCTGTTCTCTCTATCAGTGCTATTTTCACGCTGTGCCGTTTTGCTGAGGTGCTGTTTTAGCTATATACCACTCTAATATTTAGGCTGTATGCGTACAGAAAATTTGTAAGCATATAGGCCTATTGGGGTAAGAAAAAACATTTCAAACTTTCCAACTGCTGGGCAATACTAGTAATTCAGATTGACAGGTACCAATAATTTACCATTACGTGTGCACATAACACGAGAATTGTTGGTAGCATGTCAAACATCAGAGCTCCAGATAAGCTGCGTATCTTCGTAAAATACGCATCAGAAATGCAGAAATACGCAGTAAAATAAAATCCAAGCGTATCAAATACGCAACGAACATTACAGATAAGCTACAAAAATAAAACTTGTGCGTATCATCAAAACCCCTACATCCCATTTCCCCTACAACCCAGTTCCCCTACAATTAGTTAAAACAACACGCGGCATTTACCTGTCTGGTATTATGAACTCACCTAAAGGAGAGATTAAGGTCTGGAGTAGAGGTAGTAGAAATGAGTTGAGATGACTAGGTTTAGTATATAGATACTTGAAACTGACTAACATGCTAAGCTTAAATTTCTGGGCCGCGTCCCAATCAAACCCTCTCATCCAAAACTTAATAAACCAAAACACCAGCCCCAAAAACCAAGCTCTAGCTCGTAAACACCCCTTACTTACCCCAATATCCCAAAGAATAACAAACTACCTAAATGAACACCAAATTAAAAATCTTAAACAAAACTGCAAACAATCAAATATCTTTACCCCTAAACTTAAAATACCCAAAATAGACACAACACTAGCTAGCCAAATAAATAAACAAACCGACCCAAACATAGCTAAAACTACCACGCTAGCATACATACACGAAAATTGGCCAAATTGGTGTCACATTTACACGGACGGATCCTCAGATCCGACCTCCAAACACACAGGTTTCGGAGTCCATACCACTCAACCAACTAAAACCACACAATCCTTCCGACTCCCAAACAACCAATCAATATTCACGGCAGAACTAATGGGCATGGCCTCAGCCCTCCATAATCAAGAATCCAAAAACCACAAAAAAATCCTAATACTTACAGACTCCCTAAGTGGACTGCAAGCCCTCCAAAACAAAAATACCAAAAACCGACCTAAATTAATAAATCAAATACTTAAAAGCTCCAACGACCTAACTAAGGCAGGCAAACAAATAACCTTCTTGTGGATACCCGCCCACGTAGGAATATACGGTAATGAAAACGCCGATAAAGCAGCTAAACTATCCCTCAAAATCCCAGAAATAAGCTTAAACTTACCCATCTCAAAATCAGAAATTAAAAGTGTAAACAAGCAAAAAATCACAAAAAAATGGCATAACCTATATCTAAACTCAAATAGCCAAATCAAAAAAGTGCTCAGCAAACCACTAACCAAACCAAAAATTCTCCATCCATCCAAAAAAATTGACAGAGTAATCACTAAACTCCAAACAGGACACACCAACCTAAATAACCACCTAAAATTTTTTAAAAAAACCACTACAGGTAACTGCCAACACTGCAAACAACCAGAAACCCCAAAACACGCACTCATCCACTGCACACACTACCTAACACATCGAACCGCATCACAAACCACCCTCAATCTAAACAAGGCTCTAACTCTAGAAGCAATACTAAACCCACAAAATAAACTAGAAAACTTCAAGGCCTTAGGCGTATTCTTAATAAAAACGGAACTAATAAAACGCATCTAAAAACACAATAACCTACCAAATCAAAATCACATAAACAAACAAACATCCACCATACCCGGTTCCCTTAGTTCTCCTCCCCAATCCCATCGGCATCTATTCCAAATCTCAAAATTCCCAAATTCTATATAAGCAACCCCTAAAACCCCCCTCTTGGGTTGCACAGACCACCTTCGCCCCTTTCGGAAACACATTAATGGCCTGGCCGGGCCCGTGTGCGAAATACGCATCAGTACTAACATGACATCAACATGTCTGGGCTTCGCTATGTTGAGTTTGTTATGTCACAGAGAGGAAAGCCCCAAGTCCTATTTGATCGTTATCTTCACACTAAGAACGTCGAGAGACTGACTTGCGTACACTATTATTTTGTTATAATGTATTATGAATTTTGAAAAATGAACATTTTATTATAATGTATTATGAATTTTGAAAAATGAACATTTTATTATAATGTATTATGAAATTTGAATAATATCGTAATCGTAATTTAATATTTATCTCAATCTATTGGTGTTTCTTGGGTTGTTCCATTGTATGAAATAGGTAATAGACTAGGGATTAGCAGTGCCATGGACCGTGAACTTTGTTGTCTTAAGCTGTAGGGGAAATGGGATGTAGGGGTTTTGGGAGGTTACCATCAAAATATTGTGAAGTAACCCTGCGTATTCAATTAGCAAATCAGCAACCTATTTTGAAATTATAAACGGGCATTGCGTCAACCTTGCCAAACTCTACGATGACAGTTACATCACGATCATTTGCCATCACACTCTCTTGTTGAAGTATCGTGGTATTTTTGAGTCCTATAAAGCTCTCGAACCCACACGACACCAGTTTGCAGGGACTAGATGAATAGTGTTTTTTAATATTTAACTTAAATACCCACATGTTTAAAAACTAGTGGGTAACAGAAATTTGAATACCCAGATAGAATACTGATACCCAAAATGCATGGGTAAAATACCCACAACACCAAAAGCTTATCTGGAGCTCTGAAACATACTGGATTTTTTGTTTTACCCTTAGTCACTGACGAGAGTTTCAATGGATATAATGGTGGATAATCCAACAATGGCCCATGGTTATCACTTGATGAAGTGGTTAAATGTACTATAATGATTAAGTCATATTTTACGCATGCATTGTTGATTCTGTGCCTCCATTGTCGGAGTTCACCATTACGCATCTTCTTCAGGGAACATGAGGAGTTTCCTCCCTTGGATCAGAGACAACTTATTGCAGGAACGTCCAGAACTGTTCATGCAGGGGGAGACTGTGTAAGTGTGGTCACCATGGTTACCTCCTATATGTAGACATTAAACATTCATAGCAACCATTTATTATTAATTTATGAAGTTATAGCAGCGTGGCAGTTGTTCTGTGATGTTTTCATGTCTTTGAATGGCCTTTAGAAGTGATACCCATAAGGAAGAGAATTAATGGATGTCAACTTCTTTTTAAGATTGGTCCTGAACATAACATCATTTAAGGAAGAGAATTTATGTATGTCAACTTCTTTATTATGAGGAAACACATAATGTTTCCTCATAATAAAGAAGTTGACAGACATAAATTCTCTTCCTTAAATGATGTTATGTTCAGGACCAATCTTATGTGATAATGGGGTTTATAGCCCTGACTCGTCCTGATAATGTTTTAGTGCTGAGATGGACCCGTGGTTAGTCATGTGATATATTGTTTAATGACAAAAATTCACTATAACTCCATGGATACACGACAAGTCAGTAATGTTCACTTTTCTTTCTGACTCTGTACGCATTCCTTCTGACTTTAGACCGCCTCTGTGGTCTAGTGGTAGAGTGTCCGCCCGGAGAGCGGAAGGTCCGGGGTTCGATCCCCGGCCACGTTAAAAGATGGTACTTGTTGTTACCCTGTCTGGCGCTCGTCATTAAGGGGCTAAAACAAGGACTGGTCGGCTCGGAGTCAGTATACTGTGTCTGAGTGGGGTATTCATGTTAAACTGCGGCATGGTATCTCAGTGAGCTAGCACTATGAATCGGCATCAGTCCCGACTAGTACAAGCAGCCACACAAACACACACACGTACATGCACGTCGCTATATAAGTGCAGTAATCTTGGACGCGAGGTTAAACCCCATTTCACCTCACCTCACCTTCTAACGCTTCAGTCATCTTCAGCATATGCATGACCAGATCATTTTATACTTGAATCTATTAGGGCTGTTACGATTCACTCGCGTATTCGGTGAATCGAACCGTATCCATTCATGAATTGAATTCGTTATTCGTGGCCACCAGAATTGAATATTTATGAATATGCAATCATGTGCATTTACATACCCTGTACCTAAAACTATCCTTAAAAACATATCATATGATATGCATAGATTTCTTTCAAAGACAGCACTCTGATAATATTTAATTTGACAGTATTGTGGTCACTGGTCATTGTCCCTTTTGAGCAGATACTAGTACCTGGATAAGTGCAGTATATAAATGTTAATATATTAATAATTAGCAAACCATGTCAAATAATTTATGTTGTTAATGTTTCACTGAATGTAACAAAAAATACATCAATTGCTGACTTGTTATTGTATTTGTGAATTAATATTTGTATCCGTTACCCTATATTCGTGATACGAATCGTATTCATCTCATAGTGTATTTGTTGCAGCCATAGTATCTATGTACTTTCTGCCAATCAGACATTTTGTACCCAACTCTTGAGCCTACAGTGGGTACCCGGGTAGGGTCAGGTAATAGGGGTCGGGTACCCAGGGAGTAGTGTTGAACTCGTCCCAGCCCTAGTATGTTTGCCAGCAACATACCCAAAGTGGAAACATCTAAAACCGGCCTCACTTTGTGACATGGGTACTGACCCGTGAAGATCCGGGTTAGAAAAGGTCTTCAGCAACCCATGCTTGCCCTAAAAGGCAACTATGCTTGTCGTAAAAGGCGACTAACAGGATCAGGTGGTCAGGCTCGATGACTTGGTTGATGCATATCATCGATGGAATATTGCGTGGATCGATGCATATGATGTTAATCACTGGATTGTCTGGTCCAGACTTGATTATTTACAGACTGCCGTCATATAGCTGGAATATTGCTGAGTGAGTGTTAAATAACACACAAATGAACAAAACATGGGTACTTTTATGGAAAAAATTGAAGAAAACAAGTTTCTTTCTTTGTTATTCAACAATATGATGCCATGTGTGCAGTTTGATGTGTGTTCATGCACATGAGACACTATCAACGTTGCTGTACGACACTGTTGATGCTGTGTGTGTGTTCTTGCCCATGAGACACTGTCAACGTTGCTGTACGACACTGTTGATGCTGTGTGTGTGTTCTTGCCCATGAGACACTGTCAACGTTGCTGTACGACACTGTTGATGCTGTGTGTGTGTTCTTGCCCATGAGACACTGTCAACGTTGCTGTACGACACTGTTGATGCTGTGTGTGTGTTCTTGCCCATGAGACGCTGTCAACGTTGCTGTACGACACTGTTGATGCTGTGTGTGTGTTCTTGCCCATGAGACGCTGTCAACGTTGCTGTACGACACTGTTGATGCTGTGTGTGTGTGTTCTTGCCCATGAGACACTGTCAACGTTGCTGTACGACACTGTTGATGCTGTGTGTGTGTTCTTGCCCATGAGACACTGTCAACGTTGCTGTACGACACTGTTGATGCTGTGTGTGTGTTCTTGCCCATGAGACACTGTCAACGTTGCTGTACGACACTGTTGATGCTGTGTGTGTGTTCTTGCCCATGAGACACTGTCAACGTTGCTGTACGACACTGTTGATGCTGTGTGTGTGTTCTTGCCCATGAGACGCTGTCAACGTTGCTGTACGACACTGTTGATGCTGTGTGTGTGTTCTTGCCCATGAGACGCTGTCAACGTTGCTGTACGACACTGTTGATGCTGTGTGTGTGTTCTTGCCCATGAGACGCTGTCAACGTTGCTGTACGACACTGTTGATGCTGTGTGTGTGTGTTCTTGCCCTGGGGCAGTATGTAATTCATGGAGTGAAAATGTTTCAGTGTGATACTGTATGACATTGTTGATGATGCTGTATGACATTGTTGATGATGATGTATGACATTGTTGACCATGCTGTATGACATTGTTGATGATGGTGTATGACACTGTGGATGATGATGTATGACATTGTTGACCATGCTGTATGACATTGTTGATGATGGTGTATGACACTGTGGATGATGGTGTATGACACTGTGGATGATGCTGTATGACATTGTTGATGATGTTGTATGATGCTGTATGACACTGTGGATGATGCTGTATGACACTGTTGATGATGCTGTATGACATTGTTGATGATGCTGTATGACATTGTTGACCATTCCATATGACATTGTTGATGATGTTTTATGATGCTGTATGACACTGTGGATGATGCTGTATGACACTGTTGATGATGCTGTATGACATTGTTGATGATGCTGTATGACACTGTTGACCATTCCGTATGACACTGTTGATGATGCTGTATGACATTGTTGATGATGCTGTATGACATTGTTGACCATTCCATATGACATTGTTGATGATGCTGTATGACACTGTTGACCATTCCGTATGACACTGTTGATGATGCTGTATGACATTGTTGACCATTCTATATGACACTGTTGATGATGCTGTATGACACTGTTGACCATTCCGTATGACACTGTTGATGATGCTGTATGACACTGTTGATGATGCTGTTGATGATGCTGTATGACACTGTTGACCATGCTGTATGACACTGCAGCTGTTAATGATGCTGTACAACACTGTCGACGTTGCTGTATGACGCTGTTGATGCTGTATGCCACTGCATATGATAATGATGCTGTGTTTTGTCTTGCAGGCGTCCAGGAATCCTGGTTCTGGTGAACGATGCAGACTGGGAGCTGATGGTGAGTATGTTCTCAATCACAATAATACATGCATACACTATTACAATAGGTCTCTGTCTATGCTGGTCATAAAAAGCAAATGGAAAAAATGGATCAGGGCCCACTTGCACAAAGCGATCTTAGCGCTAAGACTATCATATGCCTATGTTAAAGTATGGGAGTTACGATCATCTTAGCGCTAAGATCGCTTTGTGCAAGTGGGCCCTGGTGGTCAGATTCCTTGACTTGGTTGATAGCTTGTCATGTACCCCATTTCTCAATCTATGGGAGGCTGAAAGGCTGAATTGGGCTAAGAGATCTGGACTTGGTCAGTTAACTTTAATGATGCTTTTACATCATTATGCTTCTATTAACGAATGAACCATTGAGAATTTAATTCAGAGGTAGAGCAAGGGGTAGAGCAAACTTTATTTCTCTTCTTAGGCTTAAAAAATAAAAGAATTGGTTCTCAGGCAATGTTTTTTTTTAAACTATAGTGCGGGCGGGCGGTGTCTTTTTTTTCCTCTCTTTTTTCAAACTAGTATGTAACCAAAAAAACAGTTGTGTACAATCACCTAGGGAAAGGGCCTCCTACATAAATGTATTCCTTGATGAGTAAAATACTGGAAAACAGTATTTGACTAGCGTTGGACTTGGAATATTTAAGGATTAAGGAGCCTAAGATGCCAAATTTAAGATTAACCTTATGTTTATTGGAGCTTTGTTTAAAATCAAGTCCATAATGACCTGTGACATAAATTGAAAATCCGGGAAAAGGGCTAACTGACAGGCTCTTTCACCTAATTGCCTGCACCATTATGTTAATGGGCATATTTAGGTTCATTTGGCACCTTTGATCTTTTAGCAAAGCATCTAAGAATGAACCATCTGTGTTTAAGGGAGCCATTGCTTAATAGAGGTTTGGTACAATTGTGTCCTGATTTGAATGAGAGTGATGATAAATGATAAAATCAAAAGTATCTGCATTAGAGAAATGTCCATCTTTATGTGTGGTGTTGTAGGGGGAGCTGGACTATGAGCTTCAGGACAAGGACAGGATCGTGTTTATCTCGACTCTACACGGAGGCTGACAGCTGGGCACCAAAGAAGACCCCAGTGTGGATGTCCCAGTGTGAAAGTTTCACGTGTCAGTGTAAATGTGACTGTGTGAATGTTTCAATTTTCAGTGTATGTGTTTCACGTTTCAGTGTGGATGTGCCAGTGTGAATGTTTCATGTTGCAGTGTGGATGTGCCAGACATTTCAGTGTGGATGTGCCAGTGTGAATGTTTCACGTTTCAGTGTGGATGTGCCAGTGTGAATGTTTCACCTTTCAGTGTGAATGTTTCACCTTACAGTGTGAATGTTTCACATTTTAGTGTGGATGTGCCAGACATTTCAGTGTGGATGTGCCAGTGTGAATGATTCACCTTTCAGTGTGAATGTTTCACGTTTCAGTGTGGATGTGCCAGACATTTCAATGTGGATGTGCCAGTGTAAATGTTTCACCTTTCAGTGTGAATATTTCACATTTCAGTGTGAATGTTTCACGTTACAGTGTGAATGTTTCATGTTTCAGTGTGAATGTTTCATGTTACAGTGTGAATGCGTCGCCTCTGATGCTGAAGCCTTTGACTGAAGGATGCCTGGCATTACCAGCGGTGCTTGCACTGAGATTTTGCAATATGCCATATACCAAGGGAAGAGTACCGGCATATATGTATGAGCTGTTCACTCTCCTGGGATACAATGTGTGAAGCCCATTTCTGGTGTCCAGGTGCTGATATTGCTGGAATATTGCTAAAAGTAGTGTAAAAACTGACGTCCTCATTATTCTCTCTAATAGAAGCCGGGTCAATTGTTCAGTGTAAAATATAGACGCCGGGCCTCCATCTACGGAAATCTACGAACACAAAATATTTCCATTTCGTGACGATTCAGGACATTCGTGGTCATAGTGAAATGGGGGTATTAATAGAAGCCGGGCCTCCAATAGACGCCGGGCCTCTAATTGACGCTGGGTCAAAGGCTTGGCCGAAATAAATAGAAGCCAGGGCGTCTAATAGAGGAAATACGGTACTCTACAGCAGTGGATGCAGGATATTGACTGTAGAGGGGTGCACATAATACCCAAGTGACTGAGCCCAGGGTGCAGCAGATAACATAGGTCTCTGAAAAAGGGGGATCCACCAGTGGTTTATTGCTCTACAAAATATAAAACAGTACCTTTCATGAAAGTATTTTGCTCAATATGAGTGTTACTAAACTTTGCAATGGCTAATCCAGTACAACGCTGAATCTGAGCATCACTACTTTATGGATACAAAGTGTATTTCACCTGTTACTGATAGAGTGAGTGAGTGAGTATATGGTTTTACACCGCTTTTAGCAATATTCCAGCAATATCACGGCGGGGGGGCACCAGAAATGGGCTTCACACATTGTACCCATGTCGGGAATCGAACCCGGGTCTTCAGCGTGACGAGCGAACGCTTTAACCACTAGGCTACCCGACCGCCCTGTTACTGATAGATGTTTCCTCACAGTTCACTGACATCTAGCACTAACCATCATCAATTGAATAAACTGTGTAACATTGTTTTGACTTAATTCATATTTTAACCTCCTCAGAAGACTTCCAGAAGACGAGTGTAAACCTAATTTATTACTTGCCCGGGAAGAGATCACCCGTTTAATAAACATGCAGCTGTATTACACATTGTGTAATACCACAACGCACGCTTATGTACTCTCTGAACACGTTTCACGAACAAATATTGAAAGCTCTCAACGTCCCTTGGCTTATTCAACGACATTGCGTGTGGAGTTGATAGATCACTGAGAGGAGCTAATGCACACTCGATGACCCCAGCAAACTTGTTGCTAGGCTGACGTCACATGGCATTGTTTTGCCGATGGATCTTGAAACAAAATTCCACAAATTACGTCATCCGGTATTGTGACGTGATTGTAAACTTTGAGGTTCAAGGCCCCGTTCCACAAGGCGATCGTACTGTATGTGAGTTGCGATAACCTTAGCGCTACGATAATATTGTGGAACGGATGCCTGAATATTAAAGGTGGACCGTTGTATGGCATTAAATTCATACGATTCAACTTTTGACGTGTTTGAAGTTTTATTCTGTTAAACACAATTGGATTATGCAGTGGATCGTGTAGGTGTCAGCCTATTCACACTCAACAGTATAATTTTAGAAGCGTTATAAATGGCAAGTAATATATTAAATACTAAACTCGCTCCCGTGTAAAACCAGTTTTATGAAACTCATGAGTCAGATACCAGAACTATTCACTTGTTTCATATAATTGGTATTACACGGTAGCAAGTTTAGTGTTCTATATTTATTTTAGTCCCCCGAGCTTGTAGATAGTCTTGCTTGTACAAGACAAAAATGTTTACTGTGTTTACATTTTCTATCAGTTTCTATTTAGTTCCAATTTGTTGCTTACTTGAAGCTTTGAGAATTTGTTCAGAATTATGGCATTTAAATGCCTTTGTCAGTGAGAACTACCATTTGATTTTGAAGTGTCCTCACCTCAAATTAGTAGTCTAAGCCTAGCAGACTAGCTATAATTTCGAAGGCTGATTGATGCTCAAATCTGTGTAGATTTGTTTTGTAATCACAATATCAGGCCTCTTGCCTCTGGGACAATATATTTATTACATTGCATTTCTTTGTCGATCCGGCCCGTGAAGATCCGGGGTAGAATAGGTCTTCAGCAACCTATACTTGCCGTAAAAGGCAACTATGCTTGTGGTAAGAGGCGACTAACGGGATCGGGTGGTCAGAAACGCTGACTTGGTTGATGCATGTCATCAATCCCAAGTGCGTGGATCGATGCTCATGATGTCAATCACTGGATTGTCTGGTCCAGACTCGATTATTTACAGACTGCGGTCATATAGCTGGAATATTGCTGAGTGCGGCGTTAACCCAAACAAACAAACAAATATTTGTCGATCCTGATAGGTAGGCTGTTTCAAATAGGTCTATGTAAGACAGCAAGTGTGTGTTCCACTGTGCCTTGGTTCCTGAATACTTGTGGTACATGATGGACCAATAACAGTTTGAACATAACCAACCCAGAGACTGTATTACAAAGCACGAAATGTCAAACTTTGGTGATACAGAAAACTTTGTTAAATTAGCTGACCATCTTTTTGTCCTTCTTGCACTTTAAAGTTTGGGGGGGCACGGGTGGCCCAGTCGTCTAAAGCGCCACGATTCGCTGTGCAGAGTTGCATCCCTTGGGCACGCTAGAAACCTATGATTGTGGATAAACGTCCGAGACCTGCATCACTTTCAGACCTTTCTCCCACATTAAGCTGACACACTGTGATATAACTGGAATATTGTTAGAGCAGCGTTAAGCCCAACTCACTCACTTCCCTTCAAGTTTGGGCCTTCTGACATGATCAAGTAGATGGGTATGACTAAAAGAAGTCAAAAGGATGATTGTTCTATCCTCAATATTAAATCGAACAATGAACAAGTCTTTTGACCCAAGCTGCATTATTTCCATTTTTCATATGCCTGTTTGTCATTATCGACATCACCTAAGAAAATCAGCCTGGGGCAAAGACTTGCTCATGTTCAAGTATTAGAGAAATACTGCTAACCAGTACTCAAATCTGAAACAAATACTTCTTTACAGCAAAACAAAGGTACCTTGTCCTTTCGCAAATCTCTATCAGGAACTGAGATTTCACATTTATAGCATCACAATGCTAACCTACACTGTTAATATCATATGTGAGACTGCCTACTGACAGGTACACTTTTTTGCTTCCTTAACTCTGAAGGCAAGGATGTCCAAGTGCAATTTGAATTGCAGAGTTGTATCCCTTAGGCGCGACAGAAACTTGTGATCCGAGTGTCAAAACAGAAATACCCTGATTATGTTTCTAGGTTTGTAATCATTATACCCGTGTTCATGGGTTATACCAAAACGGTAGACCCTGAAGACCTGCATCACTGGAGCTTCCCTTCATATCAAGCAGAGACGTGATATTACTGAAATACTGTTTAAAGCAGCATTTATCCCAACTCACTCACTCGCCAATGTTGTTATAGAATGGACACACTAAGTACTGTGTTTTGAATTTTGAGGCGCATTCACATGTACAGTTCCGAATGAGAGTTATTTCTCAAATCAATGGCCCCGTGAAGATTCCGGGGTAGAATAGGTCTTCAATAACCCATGCTTGCTGTAAAAGGCGACTATGCTTGTCGTAAAAGGCGACTAACGGGATCGGGTGGTCAGGCTCGCTGACTTGGTTGATTCATGTCATTGATCCCAATTGCGTGGATCGATGCTCATGATCTCAGTCACTGGATTGTCTGGTCCAGACTCGATTATTTACAGACCGCCGTCATATAGCTGGAATATTGCTGAGTGGGGCGTAAAACATCAAACCAACCAACCAACCAATCTCAAATCAATGACACGTTCCTCAATATTCAAACTTTAATATGTTTATCTCCGAAATGTTGTGTTGGAGAGCACTGGAATTTTGCTGGAAGTCATTGACTATCTGGACACAGAGACTGCATCATCTTCACTATCTGGTGGTTGTTGACAAGGAACCGCCCGGTGGGGATGCTGGGCTAGCATTGCGTCCCAGCCAACCTATGTTGGTCTTAAAAGGCGACTAAATGGAATTGGGTGGTCAGGCTTGTTGAGTTGGTTGATAACATATCATCGGACCCTAATGCCATGGATCATTGCTCACAATATCGATAACCAGATTGTCAGGTCCTGATAATTTACAGATTGCCATCATAGAGTTTGGAATATTGCTGAGTGCGGAGTAAAACAACAAACAAGGAATCAGACCAACATGACATACAAACATTTATTTCCCACTATCAAGGAGCATCAGATATGATCTGTACATGTACAAATTGAGGGAATACCTTAATATTTACAGCATTATATACAAAATATTCAGCCTTGCTATATGTCACACCAACACAGGTTCTACATCGTCAGGCTTTGCAGCGACGTCCAACAACACTGAGAACTATTGACGAATCAGCGACTTGGGTTGATACAATACACCTATCAGTAAGCTGATGTATCGATACATGCTGTGATACTACTAACATGCATAGGCGGATCCTGAGATGAGGTCCAGGGGGTCTGGACACCTCCCCTCTCTTCCCCGCCCCCAAACTTTTGAAAACCAAATGCAGTAATGTTGACTGAGAAAAAATATTGGATCTGCCCTTGATATGTATCGTAATACATGTATTTGATTTATGACATTATATTTGAAATCCGTTCAATGCGACGTCATCAATGGGGTTGTTGTTATCAACCAGTTTGTGTTTGATTTGTTTGGCTCATCCTAGCAGTATTTTGAAATCAGATTCACACATTTTGTTTTGTGATCAGTGGTGACGTAATGCAAGGCTGGGTGGTTTTCTTTCTGAAATTCTAGAAAAAAAATTAAATAATACTTATTGAAAACAAATATGGAAAGAAGTCCTGAATGGATACATGTGTACCGTAGGAATATCATGTATTGTATCGACACATTTAAACTCATGATGCACTGATGCATAGTGACGCTAAAGGGGTCGTCATTGGCAAGGATAGTACACGTATGTACCCCACATACATTTCTGTCTACAGATTTGTACCACTGCTAAAATCAGAAACGGAAAGGTAACCAGTGCCCTAAACGGCAGACAAGTCCGATATTCCTCAACCCGAATCAAAACCGGTTCATGTGGCAGTTCTGGTTCGCCTGACAGTGCATGCTGGACAGTGCTGTGCATTGTGGAATAATAGAGTAATGCACTCGAGTGTTAGATCCTTTTTTAGATAGCACACTGGAATGCATCTGATTTATGGTAAGAAAATACTGAGAATAAATATTACTGCGGTTTGGCATCCAGGGCGTGTCGTTTAAGGAACCAGTTCGGCGCATTGGACAATAAGGCCCGTGGTGCAATGAACTCACTCTATGGTACCTTTATGTATTCTGATTTCGGCTAGGGTACATTTCTGTATACAGAAACATACCTGGGGTACATATCTGAAGTACCTGTGCCAACAACAACGCCTTCAGCCATAGTGACACCCTTTCAGCAACTGCAGATTTCAGTGAGAGTCTGACAGTGGATGTGGACCACCCTCCTGGTTGGGCAGGGAGGAGATGTAGCGTTGAAGACATGGATGACATCAGCCTTTCTGAGGAGAAATCTTGTCTATTTACTTTTTTTCTGTCCTTTCCCCTGCTGCAACAGAAAAGTTGAGAGCATTGTAATGTAAAACTATGGTGACAGGTTTGGGGCGAAAGTTGAGCTTTGGCGTTTTCTGTTTTAATATTTCTGATGGGTATTGAGGCAAACATCCAGGCACACTGTAAACACTATATTTATTTGCTTTATTTTGAATAATTATTTGATTTAATTTACTGAAGGAATTCACAGGTATCAGTATAAAACTTTGTATTTACAAAAGTTGAAAGCAATGAAACTCTCGTGTCAAATGTCATTCTGCTGGTGGTGCACATCACACTCACAGCACTAGTGATGTGAATGCACACCTGAGGCGTGTTCAGGAGGCGGGTGATCACACGAGCGTACAGCAAGGAAATATGATTCCTTCCTTAATGGCACGTAATCATGCTTGCGGCACAGCGTCCAAAATGGCTTCTCCAGGAATCAACACAGCCCTATCAACAAGTGTTATAGGCTCACACATTTAATTTCATCACAAGTATGATGGGTTCATACTTTGATGTTCATGATAAAGTGTATATTTTTAATATTGAAAATAGATGTAATGAAGCTTTTGAATGGTAGTGACTAGTCTGAAACATTATTCTTTAGAAATCGGTTTGATTCCAGTCAAAGGGAAAACATTTGTACAATGTGCTACGCCATCTTGGATGACTACGCAAACTGCTTGTGGTCAGCCATGTTCAACAGCCCACGCACACATAATATCGCAATCACCCGCCTTCCTGAACACACCTCAGGCACAGCACTAACCAATTACACAGCCCCATGGCACAGCACTAGCCAGGTACACCCTCCCATGACACAGCACTAGGCAGGTACACCCTCCCATGGCATAGCACTAGCCAGGTACACCCTCCAGGTATATACAGCTGCACTACAGGTGTTGACAGTGATGCCTGGTTATACATGCATATATACAGCAGCACTACAGGTGTTGACAGTGACGCCTGATTACACATGCATATATACAGCTGCACTACAGGTGTTGACAGTGACGCCTGATTACACATGCATATATACAGCTGCACTACAGGTGTTGACAGTGATGCCTGGTTATACATGCATATATACAGCTGCACTACAGGTGTTGACAGTGACGCCTGATTACACATGCATATATACAGCTGCACTACAGGTGTTGACAGTGATGCCTGGTTACACATGCATATATACAGCAGCACTACAGGTCTCGACAGTGGTGCCTTGTTATACATGCATATATAAAGCTGCATAATGTGTCGTGATATTTGGTACATCTTTATGCAACTGGAAATGGACTGCTGGTGCAGCCACAGTACATGTTACAAGTTAGGTGGGTGGGGGCAAGAGTCAGTCGTAGTTTTCTCAACCACTAATACAGAAGAACTCAGAGATGCAGTCAGTCAGCCTGTGATGAAGCATTAAACTGTTGAGAATAGTGTAACTTAGTCTAACACCAGGGTTCATATGATGGCTACAGAAATAGGAGATGACACTATCTACCAGAGAGTCCAAAATATTTCTCATTGGCAAAACAATTGGAGTTCTGAGTTCTGTTGGCTTGTCACTATGAGACAAAGGTTTGATTCACAGAAGAAGAAAATAGAACCTTGGGACATAGCATAGCTAAAAGTGGCATAAGACCCTCCCTTATCACTGACTCCAAGCAGGTTGTAGTGTGTGACTTTAGCCACAAGTCTGAAGCCCAAGTCTAGTAAAATTAGCTCAGCTAATAATAGTCCACATGTTAAGTCTAAGTTGTACTAAAAATGATGCTAAGAGCCAAATTCAGGCTACTGCTAGTAGACTGAAAGGATTTTGGCTAAAACTGGGGTTGTGTGTCGAGAGTTGTAGCAGTCCTTAGGACGTTTTATTTCTATGGTAACTTGGAAAAATGTCTTCGGGGAGATTGGTTTGTTGGTTGGTTGTTTAACGCCGCACTCAGCAATATTCCAGCTATATGACGGCGGTCTGTAAATAATCGAGTCTGGACCCGACAATCCAGTGATTGACATCATGAGCATCAATCCACACAATTTGGATCGATGACCTGCATCAACCAAGTCAGCGAGTCTGACCACCCGATCCCGTTAGTCGCCTCTTACGACAAGCATAGTCGCCTTTTACGGCAAGCATGGGTTGCTGAAGACCTATTCTACCCCAGATCTTCAGGGTCCTTCTTCGGGTAGAAGTCTAACAACAGCATCCTGCCTCCCTGCCATGCTGAAGTCTGATCAGCACAAGACTCCTTGAATCTTGAAACGTGCCCTCACAGCCCATACGTAGTAACTTTTATACTTTGGTTTATGTCTTTGGGAATGCCATCATAGTGAATTTTGAAAAGGTTTACAACCGACCAGATTTCCCTGATGAATTTACCTTTTTGTTTGTTGATCAGATTGGTTTGAGATTGCAGACGAATAGAAAATCAACCAACTTTCCACTCACATTTTTACTATATCAATTACATGATAGTTGTAATGAAACAGAAATTCAAATTGACAAACAAAGAAGTAATTTAGCAGGGTAAGAGTATTCAGTGTCACGGTAGTCATCACTTGTTTGTTAACATAACGGTAGTCGGTTGCGAGTTCAACTCCAAGCATGGTTGTAGCCACCTATCACAGTGGGGAGTTTTGACTGGTGGCAGCAATAGTACGGAGAGCGCCGCAAACGGCATATTGCTGTTAGGAGCTTGTCTGATCAGATGCTGTTGTACAAATTTGCTTTTAGGCTAAAAAAAATAATAGTCTTAGTTCTCAGGCACCGCCCGCCGCATGTTTCGTTTTTATTTTCATTTTTAAAAAAATATAAAAATCCTAATACTTAAAAACAATACTATCCAATATAGTGAGTGTGTGAGTGAGTATGGTTTTACGCCGCTTTTAGCAATATTCCAGCAATATCACGGCAGGGGACACCAGAAATGGGCTTCGCACATTGTACCCATGTCGGGAATCGAACCCGGGTCTTCGGCGTGACGAACGAAGGCTTTAACCACAAGGCTACCTGACCGCCCCCTATCCAATATAGCACACAGCTACTTCCCTTCACATGCGCACTGCTCTACTGCGCATCTCGTGTTATGGTCATGGCGGCAATAGGTCTGACAGTTTGTATGCTTGTTTATGTAAAGAGGCCCTTTCCAGGGTTGACGATACACAACTGTTGATTTCGTTACATGCTAGTTTCAACAAGCAAATGAAAAATAAACACTGAGCAACATGAGCAATAATCGACGCTGTCTGATTCAGTCTGATTCGGATAACGCATAAACCACAGCTCTTACAAAAAGCATAGAGATCCTTTACGCTAGAATCCCCAAGGGGTTGGTTTGGAGAGTCGTGCACTGTTACGATGTTATAGTCAAGCAGAAAGTTATTAGTTCACACCCAGATTATTTCCAGTAGCATAATAGACAGCTGTGTAAACAACACACTTGCAAGTCACACAACTTACGTCTTTTTCTGGACCTTGTAACAAAACAAACAGACACTGTTAGACAAATGTGCATGCTGTTTATAAAATCTAAGTTTCTAGTCTAGTTGGGATTGATGAAAAAAAGTTAGAAATATAATTTGAAATTGGTGCAGTCAACGAATTATGAAATCTACAAATATAAAAGTAAGAATGTAGCAGAATATCTGTGATCTGGTGTCTGGAATCACACACCCTGGGCAGGGGGGTTCATACAAATTTGTTTAGTGTTTTTTATTGTCGTGAAGACAAGCAAGGAAACTAGCAAGGGAACATGTTTTGTCCCCTTGGTTATAGATTTAGTAAAACAACATTCAGAAAAAAGACACCCAACACCAAGTTTTCAAAACCCATTGCTTTAAAAGCAATTGTTTATACACTGTCATATGGCAGCTTTTAGAGGGCCAAGGGTTCAGGACACCGGTTTTACGTGGATCCAGGATATTCTCTTTACAAATTCTACACATTTGAATATATAGAAAAAAATACATAAGCCAAGTTGTGGAAAAACTTACGAGGTTCTGCAATCTTCTGGAGAATGGGTGCCACTATCTCCTGGAGAGTTTGTTTCTGCACAATGAAGTCATGTGTGGTGGCATCAGGCGTCCCTTCCACCCACTCGTTCTTCTCCTTGCAGGAGTTGACAGCCAGGTTCTGGGAAAAGGAATATGATAACAGCCGCCATAACACAGCAAGGTTCTTGGGATAGGAATAACACTATACATTACACATGACCAGGTTCTTGGACAAGGAATAACACTCTACATATCATACAATCAGCTTGTGGCCAGAGGAATAACACCCAAAATATCACACAACCAGCTTCTTGGGAGAGGGATACCACCACACATTACACACAACCAGCTTCTGAGCAGAGGAATAACACCCTACATTACACACAACCAGCTTCTGGGCAGAGGAATAACACCCAAAATATCACACAACCAGCTTCTGAGCAGAGGAATAACACCCTACATTACACACAACCAGCTTCTTGGGAGAGGGATACCACCCTACATTACACACAACCAGCTTCTGAGCAGAGGAATAACACCCTACATTACACACAACCAGCTTCTGGGGAGAGGAATAGCACCCTACATTACACACAACCAGCTTCTGGGGAGAGGAATAACACCCTACATTACACACAACCAGCTTCTGGGCAGAGGAATAACACCACACATTACACACAACCAGGGTTTGAGGACAGTAGCCTGAAAAAGCATGTCCTTTGTTCTGAACTGTTGGCATGCCTGTTACCTTGACCTTCATTCTGTCCAGTTTACCAGGGTATGAGCTTCACAGATGATGCATCTACAAAAAGGGAAATGATAAAAGCAGGATTTATCATTGAGAAAGGTCTTACCTTCTCATCCTTTGAGATTTTGCCTTGAATCTTCTCAGGGTCGGTGACAGTTTCCTGGATCGATTTGATGGTGTCCACCAGCTGCACCCTGGCCTCTGTAACAACAGTAACAACAACTGCATAATCGCCTCTGTAACAACAGTAACAACAACTGCATGATGGTCTCTGTAACAACAGTAAGAACAACTGCATGATGGCCTCTGTCACAACAGTAACAACAACGGCACCCTGGCCTCTGTGACAAAAAGGAACAACAACTGCATGATGGCCTCTGTAACAACAGTAACAACAACTGCATGATGGCCTCTGTAACAACAGTAACAACAACTGCACCCTGGCCTCTGTAACAACAGTAACAACAACTGCACCCTGGCCTATGTAACAACAGTAACAACAACTGCACCCGGCCTCTGTAACAACAGTAACAACAACTGCATAATGGCCTCTGTGACAACAGTAACAACAACTGCACCCTGGCCTATGTAACAACAGTAACAACAACTGCATAATGGCCTCTGTAACAACAGTAACAACAACTGCACCCTGGCCTATGTAACAACAGTAACAACTGCACGGTGGCCTCTGTAACAACAGTAACAACAACTTCACCCTGGCCTCTTTAACAACAGTAACAACAACTGCACCCTGGCCTCTGTAACAACAGTAAAAACAACTGCATAATGGCCTCTGTAACAACAGTAACAACAACTGCATGATGGCCTCTGTAACAACAGTAACAACAACGGCACCCTGGCCTCTGTAACAACAGTAACAACAACTGCATGATGGCCTCTGTAACAACAGTAACAACAACTGCATAATGGCCTCTGTAACAACAGTAACAACAACTGCATGATGGCCTCTGTAACAACAGTAACAACAACTGCATGATGGCCTCTGTAACAACAGTAACAACAACTGCACCCTGGCCTATGTAACAACAGTAACAACTGCATGATGGCCTCTGTAACAACAGTAACAACAACTGCATGATGGCCTCTGTAACAAACAGTAACAACAACTGCATGATGGCCTCTGTACATGTAGTCTTGCTAATTGTCTGATTTACTAGCTCTATTGCCTGAAAGATGACACTGATTTCCTAAAATCACACACACATTCATGTAATAATCTCCATGCATGTATACTCACAAGGCGTATTCTGATTACAATCTCACTGATGGCTTATCACAAATCTACATTTCGTAACTTGTTTCCTACTAAAACTAACTTTGAAAATCATGTCATCCAAACATAGAACAAGTGCTTGTTATTTCTGCCTACCTGCCCAGTCCAAGTAATCCACACACTCGGAGTTGTTGTACCGGAGTGCCGTCTCGCGGGCTCGCTCTCCGTGAGCATTGCGCTGCTGTAGGTTTGCACTGAACTCCACCAATACCTTCAGCACAGCGATCCTCCCCCATGCCGCAGCATGATGTAGTGGACAGTAGCCTGGCAACACAAGACGAGCATATTACAGCTGTAGAGTGGGTGATTTAACTGTACAGCCCAGACCTAGCCTCCAGTGAAGATTTCCTGTTCCGGCAAATGAAATCTGCCCTTCGTGGAAGACGCTTCCAGGATGACGAGGACATAAAGGCTGCCACAGAGGCGTGGTTAGAGGGACAATCTGCGGATTTCTATAAAAGTGGTATTTAAAGCTTGACGGACAAATAGAATAAGTGTATTGAGGTGAATGAAGATTATATTGAAAAATAAAAGAGCAAAAGATATTCTGCGACTTGGTCTTATATTGAAGCTGCAAAACTTATTGAATGACCCTCATACATGTCCAATATTGAAAATGTTTTTGTTTCTTTTGAAATATTTTTGGTGCGTGTTTTGTCCAATCAAGATACACGGCAAACCTATCCAATTGTTTATCTGTTCAAGACATTATTTACATGGTAAAAGCAGTCAATTTATGTTATGTCAAAAAAGCGTCACCGTTTAACACATCAAAATTCTCCAAACCATGAACGAAAATTTAGGCGCGACATATATTAATCAAAATACCAGTGTTGTCTTTTTCTGACGTGGTCAAAGACATACAACCAGCCATCACAACCAGAGCACCAGATAACTCTTTGAGCAATTGCGTTTTTACTCTAGCTGTTTCTATTTTAATTGGGTTATTACATTTTTAATTGGATAACCAATATATTTTCACTCCACAATTCATCACTCTATTGGGTTTTCCCAAAATTTTAAGATTTAAAAAAAATGAAAGTATGTTTTAGATGTATATAACTGTTCTCAATATATAGGCTTGACTCGGAAAGTAAATTAGCTCGTAATTGTGTTTCGGAAATTAGCTCCTTTGTACGCATGCTGGAAAAGCTTCATTGGGTATTTACGCGTGCTGTTTTTCATTTAATGCATGCGTCTCTGTACACAAGTTAATTGAAAGTAATTGGGTTTTGAATATTTTGGGGGAGAATTATACGCAAATATGCTGCTAATCTGTAGCTCTGGCAACTGAAAAAAATGGTGTCAATATTTAGTAATTCAATCCATTTGATGATAAGGCTAGTGCTCCATTAATTATGGTGCAACATTAGTCAAATTAAACTTGCACAATCAGGAGAATGTGGGAATCAAAGGACTAATTTATATGTGAGATAGGGCAATTATAATAAACGATTTCATCATTTCTTATGTTCGTTTGATGCCTAAATGTATTCAGTTTACATTGAACTTGTGCTATGCATAGCAGAGTAATGCCCCCTTTTCTTTGTACAAATGTAAGCTCTCTCTCATCTTTTGACGTCATATAGGAAAATCAGTTTTTGTCATAACGGCAAGTTTATTTATGTATTGAATGTATGTCATACAAATCCATTTGATATATATTTATGTCTTTAAATATTAGGTAGTATTTAGTTTGCTCAGTTTCCGTAAAGCTGCAAAATATAGAAAATCGTCGCACAGTACTTGGAGCACCTTTAGAATACAGTACCACAACTTCCTGTGAGGATGATCTCTGCCGTAGGTCACGTGTCTCAAAGACAAGACAGTTTTTGTGAGAATCCGCGACCTTTAGATTGTTAGCCCGACAGACAACTGACTGAGCTACATCCACACTGTGAAACTAAGTGCAAATTTATCAGAAGAATATCAGGAGCCACTATAGAATCTATAACAGCCACTAAACGGGTACCTAACCTTAATGATCGTAAAGGGGTGATTGATCGTAAAGGAGATCCAAGGGGTAAGTATAGAGTTTGGGGTAACCTACCCTAACACCATTGACATTTGGATTAGTTTAGCGCCAATATAATATACCTAATAAACTCCATTCATGCGCATAATGATGAAAATTAATGAACCGAAAAAATAAGTGATTGATATCATGAGCATAAATCCATGCAATTGGGATACGATGACATGCATCAACAAAGTCAGCGAGCATGTCCACCCTATCCCGTTAGTCGCCTTTTACGACAAGCATAGTCGCCTGTTACAGTAAGCGGGGTTGCTGAAGACCTATTCTAACTCAGATCTTCACGGGTTCTTCCAAAATTGTATAGTAAAACGAATATATGACACCTGACGTTTGGGCAAGAAGTAGCTCTGAAATTACGTTAAAAGAATAAAAGAAGTTTTTATCCATAAAAATGCAGATCAAAGACTGCATTAAAAGGGTAGTAGTGCAAAGCTAAATAAGCTACCACGCTGCACCTATTTGGGGTGGGGTGGGGGGTGGATTACGTTATAATTTCTTGATTTTAGATTCATTAAATAAGAAATACCGTATTCGACATAATAAGCGCCCAGGGCGCTCTCAAAATTAGGAATAGGGGGCTCTTATTAGAATATTATTTTGGTGGGAAAAAAACAGTTGAAAATAGATTTCATTGTTTATGCTGACAGCCTGAAATGTTTATGTACGACAGATATATTTTTCCAGAATTAAATTCCCCATAATTAAGAGTGCAAATAACACACGAGTGTGTATATTACACGCGAATAAATAAGTCTTGTGTACATTGATCAATCGGAAGGGGTGCTAATTGGGATTGCTCACTGGCCAATATATTAGCAAATATCGCCATGGGCGCTTATTAGAGCATGGCGCTTATTACGTCGAATACGGTATGCATTATTTCTCTAAATTGATAGAGTGGATGAGAGTGACATTCATGTTTGATTGTATCCTTGTTGACTGTTGATGTGTGGGGCTTCTAAATCTATAGTATGCACACCTTTTGTTGTCACATTATTGATGTCAGCTCCTCTTTGTAATAATTCCCTTGTCATGTCAATCCTCCCCAGCGTGGCAGCGACATCTAACGGCGACTTTCCCTCTTCATCGCGTGTGTTCAAAAAGTCTGAAACGGTCTCCTTGAACTGATCTTCGTCATCCTCAAAACATTTAACAAATCTTGTAACGTCGTTCTTGTAAACACAATGCGTCACAATGTTGGTATTGGGAAGTAAAACCTCTTCCTGTTTTTCCTCGGTTTGAGCTTCTTCCAGCGTCATTTTTATGACTGTTTACGTTTTCCGCCACACGAGAAAGCGTCGCGTTGCCCCAGCAACGTGTGACGTCAGATCAACCATAGCTTTTGTTACACTCAGTGCGATTGGCTAAGAATGTATTCAATTTCATTTATGATAAGCTGATAAGACAATGACAGCATTATGTTGAAGTTCACGACATATGTTAATTATTTTGCATCTCAATGGAATCCGCAGGACATTCGATATTTTATAACACTTCCATTATGTTAAGTTGCAACAAACCAGTTGCCGCAATGAATTATGGGTCAATGTAAATTGTAGATTGTATGCTTCAAAAGGGCCGAAGCCTGAACGAACTTTTACCATCCATTCTGAATGAAGGACGTTAGAGTTCCCGGGCTAATCAGATGGGTTGTAGAGAAAATTAAAAGCGCTAAAATAGCGGAGGCCGAACTAACTGTGTTTCTGAGAGATTGTCAGCAATTCTTGAACGTAAATATACGATACTAAATAATAAAGTGTATTCTATATAATTGTGTTCTTGTATTAATTATGCAAAATAACATATAGCGGGGAAAAATTACATACACCCCTATTCTTTTTAAATGGTGAATCTGCGAAGCAAATACGATTTGATTTTATTCGAACTGAGGAGGTATTCGTAACGTAGGCTTTGAAGGATACAATGTAAATTTGCTTATGGAACAAAAATAATGTTCTTTACAGTGTCATATTCTGTATACTATTCCATAACTAATACTGAAACACAAACGTTTTCAAAAGTTCATGCGTGGCCCCAGATGGTTCACTGAGTGTAAAACGTCCGGTACTATAGCTTCCGGGCTTCGAGGTTTCATCAGACGTCCGGAAACGTCCGGGAGGTTTCATCAGACGTCCGGGAGTTAAAAAATACAGTGCAGTCAATAAAACATGTCTTTTTCCGTTTGGTAAGATCGTGAGAATATCAACTGGCGTACGTGTTTGCCATGTGCAGCGGCCAGAAAATGGAAGTACCAGTAACCGGAAATGTCTGACCGCTGCACATGGCAAACACGACCCACGGTTATAATATCCCGAAACGATATATATTTTTAAAAATATTTGATTGTTACAGAGACACGTGACATCGAATAAGTTTCTTTGTACAGCTGCAGACGTGTGGGATATTGTTCCTTTGTGTGGATATTCACGGATACATTCCTCGAACAGGGAAGCTGCCTAAAATTATACACCTAAATTTGGTAGGTTGTTATTATGATATTTGCATTTTGTTCTCCTTCATTTGCTGTAGCATTGGACAGATTCATTCCTGTTCCTCTACGTCTTGGTTGGGAAATTCTTCGATGCGCGATAGACGTTGTTTTCACAAGTCTTTTCCTTTGTAAGCGTGTATACATCACAGGCAATTTGTAAAATGTGATTCTCTCAGGCAATTTATAAAATGTGTAAATATTTCAGTCATTTTGACTGAAAAATCTGTCCATTTCTTTAACAGATTCACTAAAACTGATTAAGACGATCAAAAGAGCCTATAAACATCACAATAGATTATTTTGTAGGATTAGAAGCCAAACAATATAGAAATGTACTTTTCATCGTAACATTTTCAGTCTCTTGGTGATGATATTAAACATAAAAATGTTTGGAATTCGTTATCATAATAATACAGATGGACATATTTTCCAGTCAATTTGTAAAATAACTGAATATTCAGGCTTTTAATAAATTTCCTAAGTGAAAATTTTGCACATTTTGACTGTAAAAAATATAAACACGATAAAATAAGCAATACTCAGGAGAAATATTTATTTTGTATTGCAAGTCAAAACAGTGTAAACGAAAATCGCACAATTACCAAGCAAGTGACTTATCAAAAGTTCGTCACCATTACCGATGCTACCCACAGAGATATCTACATTTCCTTATTATTTCCAAAACTGTAGTTCATTTTGTTGATAGATGTGACCATACGCCCTTATACTATCAATAAAAGTGACGGCACAGGTTGCTAACTAGTCTAGGTTTCTGCTATATCATACGGGTACTCACGGGAAAAAACAATAACAAAGGCAACAACCAGTCCCGGGGAATAGCTTTAGATCAGTGCCCCTTTAACAGAGCAGCTAAAACAATTCTATCAATTTCTAAAAATCAAAAATGAAATCACTTCAATACGCAAACACAAATCTTATCAATACTAAAACTCGCAATAGATATGTGTACCCTACTCACAGACACGAGTCCCGAAGAGGGACAGGTCAGCCGAAATTGCTTAGGCAGAAGGCGACCTCTTAAACACTTAAGCAACAACATGACCAAAGCTAAACTCAAAATGAATGTTCATTGCAATTAGTGCAAGAAGGCGGTGCAGAGAAATCGACACGTGACACATTTATCAGTCCAGAATAGCCCATCAGAGAATAAACTAAATGTCTAAACAATTAATCAACCAAATCACTACAGGTTTGTGTTAGTTTTGTTTCTCGAAAAATTTGAGTCCATTTCGTATAATGGACGATGTATTTTTTTAGAGGGGAGTGTCTAGGGTGTTGTTCCCCATGGATGTAGCCGGGCAAGGCAGATAAAAGCCATGGCCAAACGATCGATAGATATGACACGCGGAACTAGGAGAAAAAGAACAGGTATTCGACGTAAGGATTGTGAGAATGTGCGGGAAATACCGACCTGTGGATAAAATGGACTTGTCCGACATTGCCGAGGTCGGATTCTATTCAGGGAGTCATCATTATGAAAATGCGGTTAAATATTTTTAAAGCTTCTACATTTTATCATCATCCTCAGAGGCTGCACATAATGTTGATATCTCATATAAGAAATAAACGACCCTCGTGGTTTATTCTCCCTGCAGTGTTTTATTGTACAATAAACAACTCCCACTCATCGTTTATTTCGTAAATAATCAGGTGAGTTTATCCATGACGAAAAGGCCATTTGGTGAGTGGAGTATGTATAATTACTGATTGCCCATTGATTCTAACCGAGACGAAGATTATTTAGAGCTTCCGCATCTATCTCTGTCTATCTGGTCGTAATGCATCAATTAATTACTTTCATTTAAACTTAAAGAATGAAATACATTTGCCACGTAATGATTCAATATGGTAACCTCCCAAAACCCCTACATCCCATTTCCCCTACAGCTTAAGACAACAAAGTTCACGGTCCATGGCACTGATAATCCCTAGTCTGTTACCTATTTCATACAATGGAACAACCCAAGAAACACGAATAGATTAAGATAAATATTTAATTACGATTACGATATTATTCAAAATTCATAATACATTATAATAAAATGTTCATTTTTCAAAATTCATAATACATTATAACAAAATGTTCATTTTTCAAAATTCATAATACATTATAACAAAATGTTCATTTTTCAAAATTCATAATACATTATAATAAAATGTTCATCTCCTTGGTTAATCTCTCCTTTAGGTGAGTTCATAATGCCAGACAGGTAAATGCCGCGTGTTGTTTTAACTAATTGTAGGGGAACTGGGTTGTAGGGGAAATGGGATGTAGGGGTTTTGGGAGATAACCTTCAATATTTATATGAAATGAATCATTATTCAGTTCTATTTCTCTACTGTATTTGTTTTGTCCACGAGTTCATCGTGAATTTTGTCTTCGGGTTGGGAGTGGATACGAATTCTCCATGTCTACGGATTGGTTTGGTTACGAATGTGTGCGTGCGTGCCGGTGAGAGAGTATGGGGCAATCCATTTTGTGAACGAGTCTGTCATGTAAACTATAGCTATTCCATTTTTTCTGTTGTTTTGTTCTGTTCCGTTAAACTATATTTGGAATGCTGTTTGTTCGAACTCGAATTGTTTTCTCCCATATCTTATTGTGACAGGAAATATTGCTAAGTTTTCAGTATTTCCAGTTGCACGATCTTCAACGCAGCGATCCGTTTTCGGCTTTCGTTTCATCTTTTGTATGATGAGATAAGTGCCGGAAATCGTCCCGACAAAAATGTCGTCTTGAATGTTTCTTTTGCCCAATTTTGGTATGCATTACAAATTCCTTGCATATTTTATAGTTTGAGAGCACAATATTGATCAGAATGATTGTATTTATGCACCTTGTCTTCATCAATTGTTCGATCTGGATTCAGAACTGCCTGTAATAAGGGAGACAGTAAATAATTTCTTCGAGTTCCAGCACGACAGATAAAAACTTGGGAAAGAGTAGTTCGGATTTGCCAATACCACTTGTTTACAGGCGAGTGTACTCTAGCAAATGATATAACTCAATTTCATTATTAGGGGCTTATGGAATTTACCAACATATTTATTATTCATATACATCGAGAAATACAAGGGATACTCAGGCCTAAAATAGTAAAAATCAAGCTTATAGTTGGAGTATGTTCTAACTTGTATCTAGGCCTACTACCCTGTATTGTCGGATGCGTATGGTCGATTCTAGGCTGTGTTTATGTCCATTGTGGTACATACCCATCCCACAATGTACTAATCAGGGTGTGTTAGCAGGATTGTGAAATTAATTCCTTGCTTTACACACTCACATCCTATTTCAAATCAGATTTTTTCAATTGATACAAAAGAAATGGTAATACACATGTTAAAAACAACCTTGCAACAAATTTGATAACCTTGCACGATTTCTACTTATTTCACTTACACAATGGATTTAAAGATTATGAAGGTCAGAACCAAAGATCCAAATCAGGAAGTAAACACTGAATCTAACTAATTATAGAATAGAAGTGAATTATTACGGTCAAAGGTCAGTTACAACAAATTATGTTCATTTCAGAAAGACTTACGCCCGTATCTATCGAACAAAATATATACAATTGAAAGGACTGAGCGACAATTCATACATATATGAAATAATATATGGTTATAATAACACTGAAATCAACTGAAATTGATGCCCAGAGACAAAATCGGCTGGTAGATACAAAGCTTTTGGCAAGACGGCATACCTGGCAAATGAATTATAACAACAATGATTAGTACTTATTTTTAAAAGGAGAATTGTTTATGTACACCAACCCTTGCCGTCTAATATAGCTGGAATATTGTTGACTGCAGTGTTGAACTTAACACTCACTCACTCTTATTAAAGCTGAACTGTTATTTGTGTACCCCCTGGGGATTCCAGGTTATGATTGGTCCAGGCAACCTATGCAGGTCATAAGAGGTGTCCAAATAGATCACATGATCAAGCTTGACTACTCACTTGAACCCCAACGACATTGATTGATGCTCAGAATATCAATCACTGGATTGTCTGACTACACTTATTTACAAGCTACCATCATATAGGTGAAATATTGCTGAATGCAGCATTAAACAGCACCAAACAATTTTTTTTTTGTGTTAATTGTATGTCCAACTCTGATTCTCCAGTATAAACTGACCGCAACGATGTCCACCGACCTATTGAAGCAGACCCACCAACTGCAGGTGGCTCGGTTCGAGACGGCCATGGACCGACCACCTTCCCCCGCCCGACTCGCCTACACATCCGACAAACATCCCCGACACACGCTGGAGGCGATCAACGTCCTACGCAAACACAGAGAACTTTGTGACGTTGTACTTATTGTAGGACAGAAGAAAATTTTCGCACACCGAGTCATTTTGTCAGCATGCAGCCCATACTTCCACGCCATGTTCACGGGTGAGTTGGCCGAGAGTCGACAGACAGAAGTGACGATACGAGATATTGATGAAACAGCGATGGAGCTGTTGATAGACTTTTGTTACACGTCCAACATCACAGTGGAAGAAAGCAATGTTCAGACTCTCCTGCCTGCCGCCTGTCTGTTACAACTGGCTGAGATACAAGATGTTTGCTGTGAGTTCCTCAAACGACAGCTGGACCCATCAAATTGTCTGGGAATACGAGCTTTTGCCGACACCCACGCCTGTCGGGATCTACTCCGAATAGCAGACAAGTTTACACAACACAACTTTCAAGAGGTGAGATGTTTGGATGTGGTTGTAACTATCAAGTAGTTGATTCCAATTCATTTATTAATATTTTGTGCATCAATTACTCATATGTGACTAAGTCTCCAATGCTGGGACCCCCGTGTGGATTCCGGGTGAGAACATCATGAACATAGGTCACCTGCAACTTAGCATGTCGTCAAAGGCAACTAGATGGATTGGGTGGTCAGTCTTGGTGACTTGGTTGATTGCACAGCGTTAGAAACTAGCATTTTTAGTCCACTAGTCCTTATAAGATAACACATTGTAAAACCCTTAAAAATGGCAAATTTCCTTATGATACCTTAACTATTGGACAGTTTGGTAAGGACTATAGGACTAGTGCCAATTTCTGTCGTTTTTGCAAGTCATCATTTCTAATTTGAAAGGTCCATGCTCATGATGTCAATCCCTGGAGTTTATGGTCCAGACTTTATTATTTAAAATACAGCCCTCATTAAGGTGGAATATTGTTGAGTATGGAGTAAAACAACAAACACACACACAGTCAAATTGTGGGACCAGAACGTGACATTTATTTATAATTTTGAGTGGTGGGTTAGTATTTATTTGATATTGTGTATTGTTAAACGGAGTCAATTCAAGACATCAATATAATCAAGTGTCTTGTTTTAGATGCCTTTTGTTCCAGCATTTATGTTAGACATTTCACCACAATAGTGAGAGGGGGCATTACATTGTCATGTTACACTGCAACCAAATTTTGATAATTCTGCACATAAATCTGCAAGCTTTAGAGCCTAGATTTTGTGAATTTTGAGTTTTTGCACCGGTTTGACTTGTGGCCATCATTTTTATGAAAAACGACATAAAATGTATCCACAGCTAGAATAGCTTGTTGATGTGAAACTGGAGATCACTCAGTGTCGACATGCAGACATGCACTTATTAAGCAATAATTCTGCAAGTGTTCTGCACACTATTTGACTTTCTGCAAGATAGGTACATTCCTGCAAAATATTCTGCGACCTCGGAAAAAAGCAGGGACAGTCTTACAACTGTTGATGCCAATGTTGTTGATGTTGATGCGAGTGTTGTTGGCGATGTTGTCATGATCGAACAAGTGTCTGGTATTCGAGCCTATTTGTGGTACCGATGTTGTAGTAATGATGTTGATGTTGGTGTAGGTGATGGAGAGTGAGGAGTTCATGTTATTGCCGGTGAACCAGTTGGTGGACATCATCTCCAGTGACGAGCTGAATGTGCGGAATGAGGAGCAGGTTTACAACGCCTGCATGGGCTGGGTGAAGTACAACATCCAGGAGCGCCGCACACACCTCCCCACTGTAAGTCACGCTTCACAGCATCCAGGAATTCTGGGTTAGAGTTGATTGTCCCAGACAGTGTCAGAAATAATTTTATAACCCAACAAGACAGGCAGGTGACCCATAAATGTTGCCCATCTTCAATGTTACCTGTCCACATTGAGACAATATTGAATTCAAATGTATCCTCACATACTGTGTTTTTGAGCCTGGAAGAACTATTTCTGAATATATGTCTTAATATCAATCCCAGTACACTTAAATTAAGACTAGATTTACCAGTAGCTTTAGAATTATCTGCCAGACAGTCTGGCAAGTGGAGGCAAATTCATGCAGCCCCTGACAGAAAAGTCACCAGCCACAGACAGGCAGTTGCTTTGGACACTGCCCCAGCAACCTTTGCTGGTTGTAACAGTTGACCTAATGGAATGGGTTGCCATGCTCAGTGACTTGTTGATAGCGAACATGTGAAGATTCGGGTTAGAATTGGTCTTTAGTAATCCATGCTTTTCGTAAGCGGCAACTAACAGGATCGGGTGGTCAGGCTCGCTTATTAGGTTGATGCATGTCATCTTATCCGAATTGCATAGATCGATGCTCATGATATCAATCAATGGATTGTCTGGTCCAGACTTAATTATTTCCAGGCCTCCACCATATAGCTAGAATATTGCTAAGTTCGGCGTTAAACAACAAGTATGCACCATTTGTAGAGCATGATATTTTAATTAATCAGTTCTATGCAGCCAGATGTTAACCATTGTTAACAGATTAATTTTGATGTGGCTGAGAGAGCCTAATGTGAATTTCATGATAATGCAGTCTGGTTACTATGGTTACAAGTAAGACAGCCTTGCATGAATTAGCACAAGACACCATAAAATGCAGTGTTCAAAATTAAGGGGGCTCCTGGATTTCATGAGTATTGAATTTAGCAGGGAAACCAAAAATCGTTTTTTACAATTGTGTTATGACAAGAACCCCTCTGCTTTTCTTCGAATGCTGACATGAATGTTTTGTGTCATGATACAAGATGGATGTTATTGGTTCCAGGTGATCCAACATGTCCGCCTTCCACTAATGAGTCCCAAGTTCCTAGTGGGCACAGTGGGAGCAGATCTTCTAATCAAAAGTGACGAAGCATGTCGAGACCTTGTAGACGAAGCCAAAAACTACCTGCTCCTGCCTCAGGAGCGCCCCCTGATGCAGGGCCCAAGAACTAGACCGCGCAAACCAATCAAGTGTGGGGAGGTGTTGTTTGCAGGTTAGTTGTCTGATGCTGAATCAAGGATGATTGGCTTACAACAGAGATGACCTGTGAAGATCCGGGGTAGAATAGGTCTTCAGCAACCCATGATTGCCATAAAAGGCGACTATGCTTGTCGTAAAAGCCGACTAACGGGATCGGGTGGTCAGGCTCGCTGACTTGGTTGATACATGTCATCAATCCCAATTTGCATGGATCGATGCACATCTTGTCAATCACTGGATTGTCTGGTCCAGACTCGATCATTTACAGACCGCCGTCATATAGCTGGAATATTGCTGAGTGCGGCGTTAAACAACAACCAACCAACCAACTACAACAGAGATGTCAAATAGGGCTGGGATGGGTAATTCGGGTACTCAGGTCGGGTTGGTCCTGGATAGACCCGTGGATAGTACTGTTTAATAACATTAACAATAAAACTCCATGGTTACACTACAAGTATAGCAAATTTTCCCATTTCTTATTGCAAGCATTTGTTCTGACTTTTGTATATTCAAGTAAGGATAAAGCGTCAATGAACTTCAGTGTATGCATTATCAGATTGTTTTAAACATTTATCTAAATAGTTTTTGACAGGAATACCCAACTCACAAGATGTATAGCGGGGTCCCGGGTAGGGCCAGGTAACAGGATGTAGGCTATCCAGGTAGTAAATTTGGACTCTTCCCAGCCCTAATGCCAACCATTATGATTGTGGCAGAATCAATGCAATATTCACTGCAATAACTCAATTCAGCCAATACGTAAAGTGGAATCGCCGGTAATTTAATATAGTAATCATCATGGTTATTGACCTCATTACTGGCCCTGTCACATGTACAACCAATTAATAATCACATGTTTTAGCTTGTGACGGAACGGTTTGCAGCTTTTGTAAAGTCCAGGTGATAATATACAATACAAGGATTAAGTATTTGCATAAAATCCATAGTATACTCGATTTACTAACTTTTAGATTCAATTATACCTGATGCTCCTAATTTCCTTCAGTTTGGTTTGCCATCTTTGTTACCATGGTTACAATGTCGAACCTATTTACAAACTTTTACAGCTGTCAAAAAACGTTTTTTACAGAGTTATGGCCCTTGCTCCATGTCTTTCAACTTTGTGCATACTGAGTGAAATGGGGACATGTTTTCTCAGAAACTACTGAAGTTACATGATTGAAAGTTTGCATGCTTGTCTAAGAGATACTTGTCAAGACGGAGTTACGGCCCTTGATCCATGCTATTTATTTTCTTCGTGCATGGTGTCTGCAATGGGGACATGTTTTCTCAGAAATGTCTGAAGTTACATGAATGAAACTATGCAATCTTACCTATGAGATACTTGTCAAGACTGAGTTCGAATTGGTGCCATAAATGTTTTTTGTTTTTTTTCGAGTTTCCTCCGTTGGTAAATGTTTTTAGATTTTTAGCATACTACAGTTTTGGCCATTGATCAATGTTATTTTGCTTCGTGCATAGTGGGTGCAATGGAGACAATTTATCTCAGAAACTAATGAAGTTAGCTTATCTAAGAGATACTTATCAAGGCTGAGTTCGGGAATTGGTTCCCCTAAATTATGTTTTCCAGAGTTGTGTGTATTAATTTCACATTTACCCTTTTTTTTAATGGCTCTACATGCCTATTTTTCTTAAGGCTTTATGTTTGTTTTACAATTCATTATGTAGTGCCTTTTGCATGTCCTTGACGTTTATCTCCTCTTTCCTGCAGTGGGGGGTTGGTGCAGCGGTGATGCCATATCCAGTGTGGAGAAGTACGACCCACAGACCAATGAGTGGCGCCTGGTAGCACCAATGAGCAAGCGGAGATGTGGGGTGGGCGTGGCTGTGCTCAACGATCTACTGTATGCTGTGGGCGGCCATGATGGACAATCCTACCTCAACAGCATAGAGAGGTGCTGTTTCAGTCTTTATAACATAGCCATGCACACCCTGACAAACTTACTGCATATAACTTATAAGTTGTTTACGTCTAATATTTTAATCCAGTGCCCAAGAATACCAAGAAATATGGTATGAAATATTTGAATTTATCACCCAAAACTATCTCCCACAGGAGATATCGCCTGGGATAACTGCACGACAAGCCTCAGGGTTTTTCCACTTTTATCAACTCATGTTGATATATTTGATATCAAAAGACACTCAGGTGAGATTCTCCATTTATCATCCCAAACTGACTTCTTTGCAAGATATTGCTTGGGAGAGATAACCAAGGAGATATAACTTCAATGAAATGGCAGCATAATATTACCATGTCTACAGACCATTGTGATGTCATTGGTTACCATGACGTCACAATCAAATGACATCAGTCATCCTGCCTCTGAAGCTGGGTAGCTGTACTTTTTACACCCGAGAATCCGAGTGTCTTTTGATGTCAAATATATCAAGACTCCTAAATAAGTCGTCAGGCCGAAAATAGCACTTTCTCATTAAAAATATTTTGGCTTAATTTCGGAAGCTTATCATGCTTATGTTTCGTCTTTTATTGAAAAAATCAGAAACTGTTAGTTGTTTTAATTGAGAAAAAATAGTACATGGATTTTACATTTAAACAGGAAGTAAATTCATAGAATGCAAAACTTGAACTTGCACAAATTTTTTAATGTACAGTTAGGTTTGCCATGTGTTGTGCATTGCTCAGTATTAACTTACGAAGGGAGTAAGGTATTAATTTAAGGATGATCACTCCAAAATTTATGTCCGAATTTAAACCCATGGGCCTAACTATGGAAATATTTTCTGTTTTTAGGCCCATGAGCGTAATTCAGCATGGGCCTAAATACAGGAAGTCCCGGTACATTGTCTGATACTGATCTGGGTTGGTAATAAGTACCTATTGTTTTTCCCTCAGATATGACCCTCACACCAACCAGTGGAGCAGCGATGTGGCTCCCACAAGCTCGTGTCGGACCAGTGTGGGCGTGGCGGTCCTCGGGGACTATTTGTACGCCGTAGGTGGTCAGGACGGTGTTTCCTGCCTCAACTACGTGGAAAGGTAACTCAGCGTCAGTCAAGGGGTTATATGAATATGTATTTCCTACCAGAATAGAAATGTCTATTATATGTAACATGCTATGTACAATTGAATAAACTCTTTTTCGCAGTATTTTGTGTGTGGTAAACCCTTGGTAGCGCTGTGGCTGAAGTACTCACATGTCATGCTGAGGCCAGGGTTGTGTACAAGGTTTTCAGAGGTTTCAAAAGGCAGTCTTGAAAAAAGTCCTTGAATTTAGATTCTTCCTTGTACATGGAAAATGTGCCTAAAAAAACTTCGAATTTGCCTAACCAATCCCTATCTCAAGAAAATTACCTAATATTAAATATATGGACTTTTGTTGAAATCTGCTAGACTTGAAAATTATAAAAAATCACCATACCCTTGCTTGTGGCTTTCCCCAAAGTGGTAAACATCACAGATCTGCATCATGTCAATCTTTGACTAGTGAAGAGACGGAATAGGTCTTCAGGAACCTATGTTTGCCGTAAGATGCGACTATGCTTGTCGTAAAAGGCGACTAATGGGATTGGGTGGTCAGGCTCACTGACTTGGTTGATGCATGTCATCATATCCCAATTGCGTAGATCAATGATAATGATGTCAATCACTGGATTGTCTAGTCCAGACTCAATTATTTACATATGCTTGTCGTAAAAGGCGACTAATTGGATTAGGTGGTCAGACTCACTGACTTGGTTGATGCATGTCATCATATCCTAATTGCGTAGATAAATGATAATGATGTCAATCACTGGATTGTCTAGTCTCAACTCAATTATTTACAGACCGCTGACATACAGCTGGAATATTGCTGAGTGCGGCATTAAATAACAAACAAACAAATCATGTCAGGCTTACCTACCCTGCGCAGGTGATATCTGACATACTGATCAATGCAGTGTTAACCCAACTCACTCACACACTCACTCACTCACTCACTCACTCACTCACTGTTCCCTTTGTACAGATATGATCCTCAGACCAACAAGTGGGCCAAGGTGGCATCCATGAGCACCAGGAGGCTGGGGGTGGGCGTGGCCGTCTTGTGCAGCTTCCTGTATGCTGTTGGCGGCAGTGATGGCACTTGTCCACTCAACACAGGTCAGTTAGTGTGGACAATCATTTGAACTCATGGAAAAAGTTTCACAAATTTTGTAGGTTTGTAAATGTGCTATCCACAATACTTGATAAATATTATGCCAGAACTTGAAACCAGACCAAATACTTTTGAATTCATCTTGGTAGAATGTTTTTCTAACACTGCACATGCTGTAGGGCGAGGAATGATTTTGTACTCTTATTTGTCAAAACAAAGAATTTATGGATAGCTAACACGTACTTGTCTTGTGTTTACCGCCTCCGTGGTCTAGTGGTAGAGCATCCGCAGGGAGAGCGGAAGGTCCGGGGTTAGATCCCCAGCCTGTCATACCAAAAGACGTTAAAAGATGGCACTTGTTACCCTGTCTGGCGCTCGGCATTAAAGGGCTAAAACAAGGACTGGTCGGCTCAGAGTCAGTATACTGTGTCTGAGTGGGGTATTCATGTTAAACTGTGGCATGGTATCTCAGTGGGATAGCAGTATAAAATCAGCATCAGTCCGGACTAGTACAAGCAGCCACACACACACGTGCATGCATATGGTTATATAAGTACAATAATCTTGGTCACGACGTTAAACCCCAGTTCACCTCACCTTGTCTTGTGTTTGCTCTCTGTGGGTACAATGATATGTCCCCATATGGATTCGGGGTAAGAATAGATCCGCAGCAACCTGTACTTGAACAAAGTGACTGGATTGGTAGTCAGGGACTTGGTTGACAGCATGTCAGGACTCGTGAAGATTCCGGGGTCTTCAGCAACCCATGCTTGCCATAACAGGTGACTATGCTTGTTGTAAAAGGCGACTTACGGGATCGGGTGGTCAGGCTGGCTGACGTGGTTGATGCATGTCATCGATCCCAATTGCGTGGATCGATGCTCATGATATCAATCACTGGATTGTCTGGTCCAGACTCGATTATTTACAGACCGCCGTCATATAGCTTGAATATTGCTGAGTGCGGCGTTAAACAACAAACCAAACCAAAAAAAAGGCAGCATGGCAGCGTGACCTCATGGTGTGAGGCATTGCTTATAATGTCAATCACAGGATTGTCTGGTTCAGACTTGATTCTCTACAGGCCACCATCGTATAGCTGGAAGATTGCTGAGTGAGACGTTTCACCACAAATGAACAAAACAAAGGAATGATATGCAATCTGTATGTTTCTTTAAGTGGAGCGTTATGATCCTCGAACAAATCGCTGGACGCCTGTCGCCCCGATGGGGACAAGACGGAAACACCTGGGCGTGGCTGTGTACAACAACATGATCTACGCCGTCGGCGGCCGTGACGACACCACTGAGCTGAGTAGTGCAGAGAAGTACAACCCACAGACTAACACGTGGCAGCCAGTGGTTGCCATGACGTCCAGGAGAAGTGGGGTATGTTGGCAGCAGAATGACATGGAATTTCAACTTTATCTCATATGTTAAAAGTAGAGGCAACCTCTGTATCTCCATTGCTTCCATTTCGGTAAACGTACACTAACGCCTGGATCCATTCCCGATCCCAAATTACCTGTCCTTTTTCATTAACATTTTACCCATAAAGATTCGGGGTAGAATAGGTCTTCAGCAACTAATTCTTGCTGTGAAAGGCGACTATGCTTGTCGTAAGAGGCGACTAACGGGATCAGGTGGTCAGGCTTGCTGACTTGGTTGATGCATGTCATCGTATCCCAATTGCATGGATCGATGCTTATGATGTCAATCACTGGATTGTTTGGTCCAAACTCAATTATTTACAGACCGCCGTCATATGGCTGGAATATTGCCGCGTGCGGGGTTAAACAACAAACAAACAGACAAACAAACATTAACATTTTACCGACCTTTCAAACATCGACATAAGGAAAAAGGGAAAGGGATGTCACTTGTATTACCAAGAAACCAAAGCCACTGCCAGTTTTAATGGACATGCAGACATCCTTTCAATGATTTTTTAGGACTTTCTTTTGTGTGTCGGTCACATTTTCAGTGTTGAACTTCCCACAAACTCATAATAAAAGCCACTGGCTGCCATGTTGTTGATATAGCCAACACAACATTGAGGCTGGTTTGTAACAGGCATTCTGATTGGTCCATTAGACTGAGTAGCGTAGCAAATTCAATTGGCTAATGAAATTCAAGGGCAGGTAATTTGAGATCCACGGGGAATGGATCCAGGGGTGAGGTTAGGTTTACTGAATTGCAAGCAATGGAGATATCGAGGGTGAAGTAAAGGGGGTTCACCAATGTCTTTTCACCTAACATTATCATCATTGAAAGTTCATGTCAAGGAGGGGGCACGGGTGGCCCATTCGTCTAAGGCGCCACAATTCGCTGTGCAGAGTTGCGTCCCTTAGGCATGCCAGAAAGCTATGATTGTGGGTTTGAATCCCGGTTCACCCCGATTATGTTTCTAGGTTTGTCAGCACCATACCCATGCTTGTGGGTTTAACCGAAAGGGGTAAACGTCTGAAACCTGCATCACTTCGGGCTTTCCTCCCACATTAAGCTGACACGCCGCGATATGACTGTAATACTGTTAAAGGCGGCGTTAAACCCAACTCACTCACTCACATTCATGTCAAAGAAGTGTGAATCGTTCATGTCAACAGTTGGGGCATCGGTGACCCAGTCGTCTAAGACACTGCAATTTGTTGTGAAGAGTTGTGTCCCTTTGGCATGCCAGAAACTTATGATCACTGGTTTATGTCCAGGTTCACCCTTATTACGTTTCTAGGTTTCTCTGCACCATACCTGTGCTCATGAGTTTCACCGAAGTGGTAAACGTCTAAGACCTGCATCACTTCGGCCTTTCCTTCCATAGTAAGCTGACACATCGTGATAAAATTGGAATACTGTTGAAAGCAGCGTTGAGCCCAGTTCGCTCACTCATGTCAACAGTGATATGATCATTTGGCCGCTTGACAGTTTATCATTTGTTGCCACCAGGTGGGGCTAGCAGTCGTGAACGGACAGCTGATGGCGATCGGAGGGTTTGATGGGACAACGTACCTGAAAACTGTGGAGATATATGACCCTGAACAGAACTGTTGGAGGATTGTTGGGGGAATGAACTATAGGCGCCTTGGAGGGGGAGTTGGCGTCGTCAAGATGCCACAGAACGATTCTCATCTCTGGTAGCCTTGGCAACACTTCTGTGGGTGTGATGTAGTTGCAGTATTGCGTGATGTTTCTACCACTGAAAACAGTTCTGGGTTCAGAATTCTCATGTGCCATTAATGGTGGATACGAAACAGCGATGGCTGGCACGGAAACTGTCTCGTTATGTGGAAGAACCACAGCTTTCTGATGTTGCACTGTGTAGTACAAGAGACTAGTGACTCAACAACCTGAACCACAGACACAACCTGACTCCGAAATCTACCACTGACCACAACCATCACTACAAGCAGAGATTACAGTGTTTCAAAACTTGATACAACCATCGCTTCAGATAGCAGAATGATGCTATAACAACACATCATCCTCTCTGCGACCCCAGCTACGTATGTAGACATCAACTGAGACACCATCATTGACCTCTCCTCGTCACGACCAAGATGCTGATTTTAGAAAACCAAAAAATGACCAATGTAATTATGACTTTGAGAGTGTCTGACCTTCAACCGAAATGCCCCAACAATGACGGTTCGATGTTCTATCTTTATCCATGGCAATTGTGTGGAGTTCCAACTATATGGTGTAAGTCTAGGGCAGTGCCGATGTTTGGTAACCTTTGCCAGGAACATGTGATGCATGAAAAGTGTTACCATGGTTGTATTGATATTACATTGTTTGCGTCCTGCCAAAGCTTCATGGTCAGCATTTGTTTGCATGTATGGAATATAATAATGATATGAAGCCTCTTCACCGATACATGCAGCATTGTGTCATCCATTCTGTTGTTACTGCTGTTTCCATAAGTAGGGAATATTTTTTATGGTTTCATGGCCATCACTTACTTTAAATAGATATGAGATCATCAAAGCTTGCATACCAGATCTTGCTGAACGTTACCTTCATGTCTTGTACAGGGGTAGGTTTTAACAACAAGTTTGTATGTAGCCAGCTGGGCTTGCTCCTTTCAAAAGTTTCATGCCCTTCTCCAAACTAACTGACCTTTCTCCAGACTAACTGACCCTTCTCCAAACTAACTGGCCCATCTCTAGACTATCTGGCCCTTCTCCAAACTAACTGGCCCTTCTCCAGACTAACTGGCCCTTCTCCAGACTAACTGGCCCTTCTCCAGACTAACTTGCCCTTCTCCAAACTAATTGGCCCTTCTCCAGACTAACTGGCCCTTCTCCAAACTAACTGGCCCTTCTCCAGACTAACTGGCCCTTTTCCAAACAAGTTTGTATGTAGCCAGCTGGGCTTGCTCCTTTCAAAAGTTTCATTCCCTTCTCCTAACTAACTGACCTTTCTCCAGACTAACTGGCCCTTCTCCAGACTAACTGGCCCTTCTCCAAACTAACTGGCCCTTCTCCAAACTAGCTGGCCCTTCTCCAGACTAGCTGGCCCTTCTCCAGACTATCTGGCCCTTCTCCAAACTAGCTGACCTTCTTCAGACTACCTGGCCCTTCTCCAGGCTATCTGGCCCTTCTCCAAACTAGCTGGCCCTTCTCCAGACTAACTGGCCCTTCTCCAAACTATCTGGCCCTTCCCCAGACTAACTGGCCCTTCTCCAAACTAACTGGCCCTTCTCCAAACTAGCTGGCCCTTCTCCAAACTAGCTGGCCCTTCTCCAGGCTAACTGGCCCTTCTCCAGACTAACTGACCCTTAAATCTTGGCTTCCATTTGCCTCAGTTCGGGGCAATTTTATGAGCAATTAAAGATGTTGTTGTTGTACAGAACATTACGAAATGGCTACCGGTTGTGTCATATTACCGAGATGATCACTGAGTTAACCAGCCCACAACCTCATGCCCTCTAAATATTTTCCAATTTATTTTTCCATATTGTCCAATTAAACGAATTAAACATACACAGAGAAGGGGTGGAATTTTGACTTGCCAGAAGGGCCATCTATTTTATGCTTCAGCAAGCCTTTTGTAATTTTAACTGGCCACAGGCCAACTTGCCAGCCGTTGAATTGTCTGAAGAATGTCATGGTGATGTCCAGCAAGATCTGGTGTGCAAGCTTTGAACTGATGATCTTGCATTTATTCCAAGGTCAATGAAGAATTTAAGACAACAACTAGGATCTGCTTGAGCATGCTGAGATTTATTTCAGTGTCATGATATCATTAGCTGCTCTTTTTGGGTGTTTTCTTTTTCTGTCAACTCATTGCATTTAAACCTGCTCGCTATTACGGAATTTAGATGTGCGTAGGAATCATTTCATTGTTATTTCATCCATCAGTCCATGTATGTTTTCTTTTTCAAATTTATGTTCAAATCACACTGTTTTAAGCATGTATTTCTCTAATTTAGTCTGCCTAGATTATTGCCATTTCCACTGCATTTGGAAATTGATCTGATTACACAAATATACTGACTGGATACTGAAGCTGATCTTGTGTAAATGGATGGAGGGAGGAACTGAGGAATGGATGGGTGGTGGGACGAATGGATGGAGAGAGAAATGGATGGATGATGGTCGGGAGGGAGGGAAGAATGGATGGAGAGAGGGAGGAATGGATGGATGGCGGGGGGGATGGGATAGACCGCAGCATATAGAAGGCGTGGATTTGAATGCCTGGGAAGAGAGTTTGAGTGTTGATGTCTGCAAGTCTTCCGCTGTGTATAAGTAACTTGTACAAACTGCATGATCCGCCTATTTATTTCTTTGTATTATTCTGTACATGCTGAATGATGTAAATACATTGTCTGACTGCCCCCACACGTGTGTGTATATGTGAGCCAGGCTCACACTTTATCACATTGTACCACATGTATCATGTGCCCTGTATCATGCCATGTAGGATATGGATATATCATGTACCCTGTATCACATGTAGGATACGGATGTATCATGTACCCTTTATCACATGTAGGATATGGATGTATCATGTACCCTGTATCACATGTAGGATATGGATATATCATGTACCCTGTGTCATGTCATGTAGGATATAGATGTATCATGTACCCTGTATCATGTCATGTAGGATATGGATATATCATGTACCCTGTATCATGTCATGTAGGATATGGATGTATCATGTCATGTAGGATATGGATGTATCATGTACCCTGTATCACATCATGTAGGATATGGATGTATCATGTACCCTGTATCACGTCATGTAGGATATGGATGTATCATGTCATGTAGGATATGGATGTATCATGTACCCTGTATCATGTCATGTAGGATATGGATGTATCATGTACCCTGTATCACGTCATGGAGGATATGGATGTATCATGTCATGTAGGATATGGATGTATCATGTACCCTGTATCATGTCATGTAGGATATGGATATATCATGTACCCTGTATCACATCATGTAGGATATGGATGTATCATGTACCCTGTATCACGTCATGGAGGATATGGATGTATCATGTACCCTGTATCACATCATGTAGGATATGGATGTATCATGTACCCTGTATCACATCATGTAGGATATGGATGTATCATGTACCCTGTATCACGTCATGTAGGATATGGATGTATCATGTACCCTGTATCACGTCATGTAGGATATGGATGTATCATGTACCCTGTATCATGTCATGTAGGATATGGATATATCATGTACCCTGTATCATGTCATGTAGGATATGGATATATCATGTACCCTGTATCATGTCATGTAGGATATGGATATATCATGTACCCTGTATCATGTCATGTAGGATATGGATATATCATGTACCCTGTATCATGTCATGTAGGATATGGATATATCATGTACCCTGTATCACATCATGTAGGATATGGATGTATCATGTACCCTGTATCACGTCATGGAGGATATGGATGTATCATGTCATGTAGGATATGGATGTATCATGTACCCTGTATCATGTCATGTAGGATATGGATGTATCATGTACCCTGTATCATGTCATGTAGGATATGGATATATCATGTACCCTGTATCATGTCATGGAGGATATGGATGTATCATGTCATGTAGGATATGGATGTATCATGTACCCTGTATCATGTCATGTAGGATATGGATGTATCATGTACCCTGTATCATGTCATGTAGGATATGGATATATCATGTACCCTGTATCATGTCATGTAGGATATGGATGTATCATGTACCCTGTATCAAGTCATGTAGGATATGGATGTATCATGTACCCTGTATCATGTCATGTAGGATATTGATATATCATGTACCCTGTATCACGTCATGTAGGATATGGATGTATCATGCTATGGTATTACACATGTATCCAGTTATCGATGTATCACACGGTATGATGTGGATGTTTTATGTATATGTACCAGGTGTGTCTCCGTATCATGCACCCCACATCACACACCATGCTTGATATGCATGCACACATACCTTGACAATGCACAGAGAGATGAGTGTTGTATGGTCAAGTTATACTGTGTGAGACGGCCACTGGTATAGATGCAATGTTTCCTAATTGGGCAAAAACCTACTTTGCACTCTGCAGTTTGGTGACATTAAGCACTTAAAATATGTTACCATGGTAACTCACAAATATGTGTAAATAGAATCTCTTAAAATGACTGAATAAATATATAAAATGACAAATGTCTCAGTTTATTTTGATTATGTTGATCACAATATGAACCTTGAAATCTTGAAAATATGGCAGCCTTCAGTTTCACTGAGAAAAGCTGCCAAATAGAGGTTATGAAACATTGCTACCTCTTTGTTTATGTGTCCATGTTTGTTTGTTTCTTTGTTTGTTGTTTAACGCTGCACTCGAGTATCATAATCGAGTATTAACCAGACAATCCAGTGATTGATCTCATGAGCATCGATCTATGAAATTGGGACATGATGACATGCATCAACCAAGATTATGGAAATATCATAATATTTGTTTGTTTTGTTTGTTTTTAACACTGCACTGCAATATTCCAGCTATGTGACATGGGTCTGTAAATAATTGAGTCTGGACCAGACAATCCAGTGACTGATATCAGGAGTATCGATCCTCGCAATTGGGATACAATGACATGCATCAACCAAGTCAGGGAGTCTGACCACCCGATCCCGTTAGTCGCCACTTACGACAAGCATAGTCACCTTTTAAGGCTACCATGGGTTGCTGTCAACACTAAGAAAAATGCCGTGGGCCCAAAGCTAGGCCTGATGGTCACGTGGAAAATTATCTCTCTGCATGGAGACGTAATCTACAGCAGGGCAACACTCATGACTTGCCACAGGCCGGTTGTCCACGTCAAGTCAAGGAGACAACTGTATTCGGTTAGTGCATCTACGGAATCCATACTGCCACATTAACAGCTGGGAAAATTCCTGAGTAGGAACGGTAGAACCATACCCAACTAGTTGAGGGAGCACAGCATCCTGTCGGAGGTCCAGAGTTATGCCCAATATTGGCTTTGGGTGAACATTAAAATGTCTGGCAACTTCGCATTGCGCATTTCCTGTTTGCAGCATACCCACGGGGCATGACAATGATTTTCAGTTAGCCGTGGCATTACTTAAGCGTTTAGGGTTAAGCAAAGGTGCTGTTTTCTGACCACCTAAACAAACGTGTGCTGTTCACACATCTCAAAACCACGTGTATGAGTGTCATGCTCCCAACGAACATGACAACGTTCAAATATTGCGTTGTACATGAACATGTACATGCAATTTGTGAGATGTCTTCAGGAATTTGTATTGAAAGATGCGTCGTTTAATGTCATCATAAATGTATTTATATTGTAAATAATATGAAGCACAGTTTATTTTCTCTATAGAGTTTGGTACCATATGGCCTCTGTGACATTGATATATTGCTGGAATAATACCCAAAGCTCACTCACTCACGCACGCACGCACGCACGCACGCACGCACGCACGCACGCACTCACTCACTCACTCACGCACTCATGCACTCACTCACTCACATGTGTTGTGGTGGCAGAGCGGAAAGGTCCGGATCCGACCAAAAGACCTTAAAAGATGGTACTTGTTACACTGTCTGGCGCTCGGCATTAAGGGGCTAAAACAAGGACTGGTCAGCTCGGAGTCAGTATACTGTGTCTGAGAGGGGTATTCATGTTAAACCGCGGCATGGTATCTCAGTGGGCAAGCACTATAAAATCGGCTTTAGCCCGGACTAGTACAAGCAGTCACACACACACGTGCATGCACGTCGTTATATAAGTGCAATAGTCTTGGACGCGACGTTTAACCCTATCTCACCTCACTCATTCACCAATCCCCCACTAATTCGCTGACTCACTCACTCACCCACCACGTCTGGCAGAGAAATATTATCGCTGATGCATGCTTAGTCTGAAGATTGGCAGGTCTGAGTATACTACGTACGTTGTAATGCTTCTCTATTATTTCCTAAAATCTGTTTGTCTATAAACCATCCGGTCCGACACAAGGGTCAGCCAAAGTGCCAGCGGACGAGCACCGTATCGCTTAACAGATTCTGGACTTTGACCCGTGCACTTTAAACCTGCCACATGTGTGTGTATATATATATATATCTTGTTGTGTGCTGTGGTGTGACCGCGATGGACTGTCGTCACGTGACCTAGCAGTGGCCCACCTCAGGCGTGTATAACAGCGGCAACAATATGGTTTACTTACCAGCCACATATATGTACAGTAAAGTACGGTTATAACGAACTCAAAGATACTACTAATTTTAGTTCGTTATAACCGTAGTTCGTTATAAGCATATATACAGCAAATTCTAACAAGACAATAATCACAAAAAGTCAAGGAAATTATATATATACGATACGATCCAAGGAGCGTGTTAGTGTGGCTCTGAGGGCGAATGCAGACGGTTCTGTGAAGGTTAAGCCATTTGTGATCGGAAAAGCTCGACGACCTCGATGTTTCAGTGTATAAAGACCTTGATTACACAGGCGATCTGGACAATTTGGAATTATTGTTTAAAATTCAAACCTCAAAATGTGGTAAAGTTCAAACTTCCATGACAGATATTTTGAAACGTGTATGTCTTGAATAAAGATTGAGTGGATGTATCTGTTTGCTCTGTCATCTGTCATGAGTTGCATAATTGAAGGGAAGAAACTCTTCCAGTAAGAAGCTGGTTTCAGTTATACGGAAATTCGTTTATACGGACGAATTGTGAAATGACGCAAGTGTCCGTATAAACGAGGCACGACTGTAGTAATCAATTATTGACACAACACTGACAGATGTCATCTTCCCGAGGCAAACGTGTCCTCTAGCCTATATCAAAGCCTAGTGGAAACAGGGCGGTCGGGTAGCCAAGTGGTTAAAGCGTTCTCACTCACTCACTCACCCATTCACTCACTCGTGAAACTAGACTCAATCCAGTGTCAGGCTCTAAAACTAATTACACGAACTCAACATGGCACCTCCAGCACATCACTCCAGGCCTTAACAGGAGAAATGCCACTAAGTCTACGTAGGGAACAACTAACCCTAAACTTCTGGGCCGCGCCCCAATCAAACCCTCTAATCCAAAACAACAATATTAGCGCCAAAAACCAAGCCCTACCCCGGAAACATCCACTACTTACTCCAATATCCCAAAGAATAATCAATAACCTAAATGAACACAAAATAAATAATCTCAAACAAAACAGTAAACAATCAAATATCTTCATCCCAAAACTTAAAATAACTTAGATAGACACAACACCAGCCAATACACTATATAACAGACTGACCCTAACATCGCTAAATCCTCCCACTAGCATACATACGAGGGGTGTTCATTAAAGATTTCCCCTGACCCACTTCCGATGGACCTAGTGGAATGAAACTTGGCATAGGTATTAGTCTTTCTCCACATAGGGACCACCAAGAGTTACACACTTCTCCCATCGTTTTATGCAACTATGGAGACCTTGCTTGTAAAAGCCCTCATTATCGTCTCAAACCAGGACTTGACTTCAGAAATCAGTGTTTCATCATCTGTGAAACGTTTCCCTTCAAAAATGACTTCATGGTTGGAAAGAGGTGGAAGTCAGATGGTGCAAGGTCAGGAAAGTAAGGAGGATGTGGAAGGATTTCATAGCCACAGGACCGCGCTTCTGTCTGGGCAACATGAGAGTTGTGTACTGGAGCATTGTCTTGCAGGAGACGGACACCCTTGGTCAGCATGCCACGCCTCTTAAGCTTGATAGCGTCCCGCAATTTCCGCAGCAGGGAAGCATAATAAGCTCCTGTAATTGTGGTACCCTTTGCCAAGAAATCCATCATCACTACTCCGTGCTGGTCCCAAAACACCGTGAGCATGACCTTGCCTGCAGTGGGCAATTGACTCGTTCCTGCTTTTGGAAAGGTGTGAGCAACCTGGGAATCCGTCGTGCAGACACCTTTTGCATGTTCAAATTGTCATGGATGATTTTTTTCCACAGACCCTACACTGATCTTGACATCTTGTGCTAACTGGCGAACAGTTTTACGTCGGTCTGACAAAATGGCGGTCTCCACTTGATGGATAGTGTCCTCATCAATGGCTGAATGGGGGCGACCAGGAATGGCAGCTGTTTCCACAGATGTCCGACCACACTTGAACTGGCGATGCCAGTGTTTAACAACGTCATATGATGGGGCATTTTCCCCATAAGTTGCTTTCATTTCATCGAAAGTTTCTTTTGGTGTGCGACCTTTCAAATATAAAAACCTAATCACTGCTCGGTATTCTACTGGCTCCATTGTCACACCCTACTCGATCATAACACCTGCAAATTCAGACATAACCCATAGATACATGTATCATTACACATGTGAAATTTCAACCAAATATGATAACCCTAAGTGGTTTAGGGGAAATCTTTAATGAACACCCCTCGTACACGAACATTGGCCAAATTGGTGTCACATATACACAGACGGATCCTCAGATCCGATCTCCAAACACACAGATTTCGGAGTCAACATCGCACAACCAACTAAAATCACTCAATCCTACCGAATCCCAAACAACCAATCCATATTCACGGCCGAACTAATGGGCATGGCCCCAGCCCTACACAATCAGCAATCTAAAAAAATACAAAAAATCCTTATTCTAACCGACTCCCTCAGTGGACTGCAAGCCCTCAAAAATAAAAACTCAAAAATACTCAAAAGCTCAAACAACTGAACTGTGGCAGGCAAACAAATAGAATTCATTTGGATCCCCGCCCACGTAGGAATCTTTGGCAATGAAAACGCCGATAAAGCAGCCAAATTATCCCTTAAACTCCCAGAAATAAGCTTAAACCTACTTATTTCAAAATCAGAAATTAAAAGTGTCACTAAACAAAAAATCACCAAAAATGGCAAAATATATACCTAAACTCAAAGAGCCAAATCAGAAAAGTTCTTTAAAAAACCCTAACTAAACCAAAAATACTACACCCATCCCCCAAAATCGATAGAATAATCACTTAACTACAAACAGGCCACACCAAACTAAATAACCACCTTAAAATAGCTAAACTACACGCAAGAGGAACCTGCCCACACTGCAAACAACACGAAACACCAGAACACGTACTCATTCACTGCACACACTACCAAACACTAGGGCTTCAACGAGTACTCGAGTACTCGGGGCCGGGTCGGTTTTA